CCCTAAAATATAAAAATTCGAATATTTGAGAAGTGTTTTTGCTGACGTGTCGGACTCTCGGCTCTTGTTGAGCCCTTGATTTTGCGTAATTACTTAAATATCTTCTATTAAATTAATTCGAATATTAATTAAAATTAAAAAATTAACTAACCCTAAAATATAAAAATTCGATATATTTTACATTTTAAAAAATAGTAATATTCTTAAATAACAATATTTGAGAAGTGTTTTTGCTGACGTGTCGGACTCTCGGCTCTTGTTGAGCCCTTGATTTTGCGTAATTACTTAAATATCTTCTATTAAATTAATTCGAATATTAATTAAAATTAAAAAATTAACTAACCCTAAAATATAAAAATTCGAATATTTGAGAAGTGTTTTTGCTGACGTGTCGGACTCTCGGCTCTTGTTGAGCCCTTGATTTTGCGTAATTACTTAAATATCTTCTATTAAATTAATTCGAATAATGAGTAAACGCTTTGAGCTACGAAAGGACAAAACTCTCTCAGACACGAATATCGAGACAACCACAATTTTTCAGATCTCCGACGCCGGTAAAGCTTTTGCTTGCCGGCGTCGGATCGTCCCTTCTATTTTCGCCTCCTTTGTTGCTAATTTCGATTCTGTGGTTCTTTTGGAATCGTCTTTCCCGGCAGCTCCCTTCTCCAATTTTACTTTGCGGAGAAAAGCTTCGAAGCCGGTGACCGGTGACTCGTATCCCCCGCAGCGGGTACAGCTTTTTGTAGCCGATGTTTTCTCCTTGTTACCTGCAAATCCAGACATTTTCTCGGTTTTAAACCGAAGACTCTATTCCATTCACTCTGTTATTTTCCACCGCTCTCCCTTATCCGTAGCCACTCTACAGATCCGACATGTCTCTCTCGCCAATCTCTGCTTCCGCCATCTACCCATGGACTACTTGTCGCGATCTATCTCGGGTTTCACTTCCGACGCTTCTTTTTGCTTTATCCTTCCAGAACTCATTCTCCATCTATCTTTTAAAGTCCCGGAGAGCTTTCTAAGGAAGTCTTCGTTTTCCACCGTCGCGTCGAGGATATGTCTTATCACGTTAAAGATTTGTCCCTGCAACCTCTTGATTTCCTTGGTCATGCGTGGCCAAGAGAGTTTCTCGGCTGTGAGCCAAAGATCCATCCCGGTGATTCCGAGATTGTATCGAGCTTTGCTTCCTTTCCCGGTAGTTTCTTTGACCGGAGGACATATTGATTCCGGCAGTGACGGCTGCGCTTCTCGGAAAATTATTCTAGGTCAAACTCCTCTCTTTGGGCTGCAGAGAGGGAACTCGAGTTGGGCCTGGCCCATGAGTGTTTTAATTTGGATCCTTCCTGCCCCATTTCACTTTGTGGGCTTGAAATTACTTTGGCCCATCCGAAGAGTGAAAGCAAATTGGGATTGTCTCTGCAAATATGAATTATGGGCTCATGTTGGCCCAAACAATTATGTCGGCTCTTTGCCTACCTATTCTAAATTATGGGGTTTTGCTGGCCTAATAATCTCTAAAGGAACAAAATCCATGTGTTCATATTCAATAGTTTTGTTTTCCTCATTTAATGAGAGACATAGTACTAATACTTCCTCCGATGTGGAGAGATCCCTTTCACTATTCTCTTGTTTAAAGAGTATGTTTTTCCCATTTTCCTCCTTTTTGGAGTGGTTTTTTGGAAGCTCTGCCAGGATTGCAATGGTGTTAGCCGTACAAGTTATTAGTGATAACAAGTCAGTCTTGATGTTTTTGAATTTAATCTTGAATATGGAGTTAGCCATCGCGACTAGATTTGTTCTTCTCGTTCCAAGTTTAACGAATGATACGGGATTTCAAAAGATCAATCTCCTCCGCTCCTCTACCACATCCTTTCTAAGTGTTTCCGATTTAAATTTATATTGCTCTCCAAATTCCTCCCTTGTGGAGAGACCTTTGTGTACCTCTTCCTCATCTTTGGAGAGATCGACTGTATCTCTATCACCTACCCATTATTTGATGGAGAACTTCTCAAAAAGCTTAACCTCCACTGAGGTGGATCCCGTCTTGGACTTAAATCTAAATTCTCACTTCCCTCTCTCCACCTCTCAGCGCCTATTCTTTCGTCATCTTCCTTCTCCATCTACAACCACTTTTTGGCTTAAGCAAACCGCTGACGGTTTTCAAATCTCTCATATCACCTCGGGCTCTATACTCGAAGAATGGTGGCATCCGGTTTTCCTCTTAAGTGACGCTTTTGACTCTTGGACCGCGGGAGATCTCTCTCGTCTTACATGCGACCTCCCTTTTCAGGGACCTGGTGTTTCGGCACTTCAGGCGCAAGTTTGGAATCTTAAAACTATACGAAAATTTCAGCTTTTCGTGTGGCAATGTAGGTGGTTGGCAACCTATCATCGGTTTGTCTACTGTTATCTCGAGTGGCCTACCTTTGTGGTGGGACTCATTATCGTTGAAAGTTTTAGATCCTTATTTCTATCTTTTAGCTTTTGTCATATTTTACTTTGTAACAATGTCCGGGTTCTATATTTAGCTAAGAAAAAAACCCGTGAACCTATTTGTTCCCATGTAAGCACATCGGCTCCAGATTGGCTTTCTCTAGAGGAAAGTCTCTGTCCGATTTCTTAATAAAATGGTGTTTGACGAAAAAAAAAAAAAAAAAAAAAAAAATTAATTCGAATATTAATTAAAATTAAAAAATTAACTAACCCTAAAATATAAAAATTCGATATATTTTACATTTAAAAAAATAGTAATATTCTTAAACACGAAAAAATGAAAAAAATAAATAAATTTGGATCAAATGTAGTTTACATACCTTTTTTATGACGGTTTATCGTTCGACCAAGAACATCCAATGATTAATCTCCACCAATCTAATCATGGTCGTGAGTCACATACAATTACGTCGGAGAAAGGATTGGTCGTGTCTTCTTATTTTCTCTTCCTTTTCCGTGTTTTTTTTTTTCCTTTTTGGTTCTTTTTTTTTCCAACAAAAGATGTGTCTCATAATTAATCGTTTAATTATATTTTTGATATATTAATGGTAAATTTATGTTGTGATAATTACGAGCCAATTGTTTTTAAAAGTAAAATTTACTTTTCTAAAATATATAGATATTGCCGATAATATCAAAACAACTATCATATATTCTTTAAATTCACAAATCTGATAAAATAAAAGAAACTTTCTTTTATATTTTATACCGATAATGATGGTGTATCTAAATAAATGTCAAATATAATTGTAAATCTAAAAAAAATCATGTTATTGTTCCATTTTTTAACAAATAAAATAAGGAATATTTCTATAATAACAATATTTGAGAAGTGTTTTTGCTGACGTGTCGGACTCTCGGCTCTTGTTGAGCCCTTGATTTTGCGTAATTACTTAAATACCTTCTATTAAATTAATTCGAATATTAATTAAAATTAAAAAATTAACTAACCCTAAAATATAAAAATTCGATATATTTTACATTAAAAAAAATAGTAATATTCTTAAACACGAAAAAATAAAAAAAATAAATAAATTTGGATCAAATGTAGTTTACATACCTTTTTTATGACGATTTATCGTTCGACCAAGAACATCCAATGATTAATCTCCACCAATCTAATCATGGTCGTGAGTCACATACAATTACGTCGGAGAAAGGATTGGTCGTGTCTTCTTATTTTCTCTTCCTTTTCCGTGTTTTTTTTTTCCTTTTTGGTTCTTTTTTTTTTCCAACAAAAGATGTGTCTCATAATTAATCGTTTAATTATATTTTTGATATATTAATGGTAAATTTATGTTGTGATAATTACGAGCCAATTGTTTTTAAAAGTAAAATTTACTTTTCTAAAATATATAGATATTGCCGATAATATCAAAACAACTATCATATATTCTTTAAATTCACAAATCTGATAAAATAAAAGAAACTTTCTTTTATATTTTATACCGATAATGATGGTGTATCTAAATAAATGTCAAATATAATTGTAAATCTAAAAAAAATCATGTTATTGTTCCATTTTTTAACAAATAAAATAAGGAATATTTTTTTATAATTAATATCCATAGTAGTTATTAATTGTTTTTAGGAATATTAATTGTTTTGATAAAGATTTGATCTAACACAATATATAAATCTTCATTTCTTGTTGTTGTAATTATCTTCAAAAATTAAAAAAAATTAGATCGTACACCGCCTTTCAGTTTAATATAAATACCTTCTCTAGGTTTCACTTTCAAATCATAACTAACCCCATTTTTTTTGCTTTTTTTTTTTTGCGTTTTATTTTATTTGGCTTTACACATATGAATTCATGGTGTTTATGTATTGTTATAGGTTACGGATGCAACGTCGTTAAACAATTCCAGGACAATTAAATTGTTGATTAAATCGAACATATGGTGAGTTTTTCACTTTAGTACTTTCATGTTTAATATTTAAATTATGCTTGGTGTATTGAGAAATCTATAAGCTTTCCCATAATATTTTGCGAGCAGCTTAGATTTCATATTCTTCACTAAAAAAAAAAAGAAGCTTTAATTTTGTATTTACCATATTCTTCACTAAAAAAAAAAGAAGCTTTGATTTTGTATTTACATAATTTGATATCAGTTTGATTATTGGTTCCATCATGATGCAAATTACGGCCTCTCAACAACCCCAATAGACTATAATCGTTGGGAACTCTTCTTTTTCTCTTGCTTCTCTCTGATTATCTTTCACCAGGAGTCTCAATTATTATTATTTCTTTGTATTGATGCGATCAGAAGTTTTATCTCTTTTTTAAATAATGATCTCTTTATGGATTTTTCATTTAGGTATGAACATGGTTTGTTTCACGGGGTGTTTCGGTGTCTTGCCTTGAATCAAGGCGTGTAAAAACGTAAAGCTTGCTTTTATCTATCTTTTTTTATTGTCACGTCTTTATCCATCTATGTAACGCTTAATCATCAATTATTATATTAAACTTCAATAAAGGCTGGTGTACCAAATTCATGGTTTGTTTTATCTGATTAGTGTACCAAATTCAATTGGAACTATATCAGATCTATGAAATTATTGATTATTGATACATGCAGGTTATGTGTGATCCTTATACACCAGCTGGTGTTCCAATTCCAACCAACAAGAGGCACAACGCTGCTAAAATTTTCAGACACCAATCGTTGCCTCCGAGGAGCCTTGGTATGCTCATCTTCTTGTTTTTTGGCTATACATATTATTTTCGTTACTATAAATTCTAATAGTGTTTGTTTTTTTAAACGATTGTATGTTTTGGATGAATGAAAGCAACCACGATGCATGAAGAAGATTCAGGTGATGTTTCAATTGATCTTTTATCTTTAATTTATCGATTTTCTAATTTTACAAAAATGTTCTCACCGAGTAGAATATACTTTTGAGTTTTGAGTTAAATCTTTCACAGTCTGTTGTGGATTAGCAACGTTTCAAGCCATATTAACTATTGTGTTGTGGCAGTTCGAAAGATTCATATAAATTGGACTATTGCTACAAAAAAAACAGAATCACAGTTTTAATTCTATCAAAGGAGATAAAGCCTCTTATCTCTACTGTCTTTGAGGGTAAAGATGCTAATGTCATCGCCCACGGAGCAAGAAATTGCGGAAAAACATATCTCATACATGTATTGAAAGCAATCTCATTAAGGTATTGATTATCAGACATGATACTATAGATGAAAAATGCTAATTATTGTATCGCATGGTTTGTAGGGAAATGATTATGCTCTGACGCTCAAAGGAAACAGACACCTTTGACTGTGTCTGCTACTTCTAGAAAACAGACAGTGCTAAGGGGAAATGTGACAGAGAGAAAAGACTAAAATCAAAGCAAGGTAAATCTTTCAGAAACAACTTTGTATCAACTCTAAGCCTCAATATCCATGATATACCTGCATCTGCTCTGTTGTTCAGTTTTAGAACATCAAATAATGATGATTTTTTTTCTCAATGTTTGAAGGAAACTGTTCCGCGAAGCAAACGATTCAGTGAAATGTAAAAATAGCATTTTGGAAAATTTAATTAATACGTCATGAAGTGGAATAATCTAGATTCTTCCTTTACAAAGAGGTAAAACAGAGGGTATAGAAACAGAGACTAAGAGACCAAGAGTCTTAATTAAGGAGGTTTGGTATACCACTTAACCCTAATCAATCCACTACTTACTTGATAAAGACATATTCTCATCATGTATATTTGATTAGATTAGCTAGGCTCGTAATATGGGACAAAACCCCGAAGATGAGCAAGAAATGCTTTGAAAGATTTTATCGTAGCATGAGTGTCATATCTGCACCCTTCAGTGCTCCCTTGTAAAATCAAAGTATCTGAGTATAGATACTTAATAGGTTTAAGTGTTCTTCGATCTTGGACGATATGTTCCAACTTATACTGATACAGAGGTTATACAGATTTTTGGTTTTTCTAATAAAATAAATTGTTTGCTGAAAGATTGCTATACCTTTAACAATTTTATTTTGTTTGTTAGGGTCACGACATACATACTATAATTGATAGAGAGTATTATCGTCACCGTGGATTCAGGTTTTTCCAAGGACGATAGATACATGGCCGGCCCTATAGACATCAACAAGAAACTTTTACTGTAACCCAAATTTTGTTTCTGAAATTCTTCAACAAAAATTATTTATGAAACGGACCTAATTTTATTTATTTTACTATAATTGGCCCTAAATTTTAAAACCTTTCAAAATAACCAAAAACTTTTTTTGAGTATTTGGCCCTTCAAATCTCAGGGCAGGCCCTGGATGGATAACACTTAGAGATTTTGATTCATGTTATCGGTTTGCTTAGTCATACTTTTTATGATTTTAAAATTCATTGGAATTTATCAATCTTTGTTTCACATAGACCTTCCTTGGGTGCGATTGATTACTGCGCATTCGCATCTTTTAGGAAAATTGATACTTAATTTTGAGTATGTTTATTTCCCTGGTCCCATAATATTTTTTGTTTGGATATTTTATTCTTTGCATTGTTATGGTTTGATCCATTAATTTAAATAATTATATTTAATTGGTTGGGTCGTGAGTGTTAGCAATATTGAAGATGGAAAACCAATAATAAAGTGTGGGATCAAGTTTATGTGGAATTAGAAGATGAATTGTAAGTTATTAATTTAATCAAAATTAGATTTGTTATAGTTTAATTTGGGTAGTATGCTAAAAACTTAATTTTATAATAAATTTACGTCTATGATGTCGACTACATGGTGGATACTGTTGTAAATTTTTGAGAGAACGGAGTAAACAATGTGATAATATCACCATATTTATCATGAGATTCACTAGAATAGAAGTCACTCGAGGTATTCGAATATTGTTGTTTTTCATGTATATATAATTTCTGAATATTTATTAGTCGATCACGTTTCTATGATATTGTTTCTTATGGTTTTGGCTACTATTGTTTGCAATGGCACCCGAATGATGCTAAAAAATATGTGTGCTGAAAGTTGCAGGAATGCAGAGTTGTTTTGTGCTAAGGATCACAGAAATTTTTATTAGTTACTAAGCTTATCTATTTTTTTTGTTTCCATTTTTCCGAATTTTTTTTTTCCTAAAAATGTAAATATGATCTAAAATGAAGTTTGAGGCTTTACAAAAGATAAATAATTACACAAAAGCAACCTTGGCAAAAAAAGAGATAAAAACAAGACTACAGTAGAGTAAAGAAAGATTTGGAAATAGATAACGAATCCAAATAAGCATAAGCTTTGTTCATCTCGAAGTGATGATGTTTCGTAGCTCCATTCCACCATCTTGAAAATGATTTGAGCAGCAAGCCGCAAGGAGTTATGGAGAATATTATTACGCTGTCGCCAGAACTTACAAACCACCACTTGAGATGCTACTTTTCTAAGCAAAGAAGGCACATGACTGGAAGAGCGTCATGTCCAAGAAAATAGCTCAATCCAAGAGCAAAACAACTCATCAGATTGAATTTGTCCTCAAGAAGCCAGTCTTTGACGAGTGGGCAATTATTTAAGTGACTCTGGAGAGGAAGAGCGTTAGGACAAAGAAAGTAACTCAGCCTAAGAGCAAACAACTTTTGTCGAGAACAAAGCCTAGAGAAAACTAAATTCCACACCTGGGAAGAGCTCACAGAGGAGCATGAGGTGATACCGAGACTCTGTTGCAAAAGTGTAAAGACAACACTCATCAGATTGAATTTGTTTCCAAGAAGCCAGTCTTTGATGAGTGGGCAATTCTTTAAAAGTGTAAGGAGAGGAAGAGCGTTGGGTCCAATAAAGTAGCTCAGCCCAAGAGTATAACAACCTTTGTTGAGGATAAGGCCTAGAGAAAATCAAATTTCCCACCTCATAAAAGCTCATAGAGGAGCAGGATGTGATCCTGAGACTCCGTAGCAAAAGTGCATAGACAACACTCATCGGATTGAATTTTTCCCTAGGAAACCAGTCTTTAACGACTGGAGAGGATGATTGGAGATTTATTTAAGTGTCTCAATAGAAGAAGAGCGTCATGTGCCAGAAAGTAGCTCAACCCAAGAGCAAAACAACCTTTGTGGAGGATAAATCCTAGAGAAAACCAAATTCCACACCTTGAAAAAGATAACAGAGGAACACGAGATGATCCCGAGACTCCGTTGCAAAAGTGCAAATACAACACTTGCCCCCAAGAAGCCAGTCTTTGATGAGTGGATAATTATTTAAGTGACTCTCGACGGTTCAAGAAAAACTAAATTACACACCTGGGAAGAGCTCACAGAGGAGCAAGAGGTGATCTCGAGACTCTGTTGCAAAAGTACAAAGACAACACTCATCGGATTGAATTTATCTCCAAGAAGCCAGTCTTTTACGAGTCGGTAATTATTTAAAACTGTAAGGAGAGGAAGAGCGTTGGGTCCAATAAAGTAGCTCATCCCAAGATTAAAACAACCTTTGTTAAGGATAAGGCCTAGAGAAAATCAAATTTCCCACCTCGAAAGAGTTCACAGAGGAGCATGAGGTGATCCTGAGACTCCGTTGCAAAAGTGCATAGACAACACTCCTCGAATTGAATTTGTCCCCAGGAAACCAGTCTTTAACGACTGAAGAGGACGATTGGAGCGAGATTTATTTAAGTGTCTCAACAGAAAAAGAGCGTTAGGTGCCAAAAAGTAGCTCAACCCAAGAGCAAAACAACCTTTGTGGAGGATAAATCCTAGAGAAAACCAAATTCCACACCTTGAAAAATCTCACAGAAGAACACGAGGTGATCCCGAGACTCTGTTGCAAAAGTGAAAATACAGCACTTGGCCCCAAGAAGCCAGTCTTTGATGAGTGGGCAATTATTTAAGTGACTCTCGACGGTCCATGAAAGTAGCTCAGGCCAAGAGCAAAACAACCTTTGTCGAGGAAAAAACCTATAGAAAACTAAATTTCACACCTGGGAAGAGCTCACAGAGGAGCAAGAGGTGATCTCGGGACTCCGTTACAAAAGTACAAAGACAACACTCATCGGATTAAATTTGTCCACAAGAAGCCAGTCTTTTACGAGTCGGCAATTATTTAAGTGACTCTAGAGAGAAAGAGTGCCGGATCCAAGAAAGTAGCTTAGTCCAGGAGCACAACAACCTTTGTCGAGGATAAAGCCTAGCGAAAACTAAATTCCACACCTAGGAAGAGCTCACAGAGGAGCATGAGGTGATCCCGAGACTCCGCTGAAAAAGTGCATAGACAACACTCATTTGATTGAATTTGCTCCCAAGAACCCAATCTTTGACGAGTTGACAATTATTTAAGTATCTCATGGGTAGAAGAGTGTCGGTCCAAGAAGTATCTCAGTCCAAAATCAAAACAATCTTTGTCGAGGATAAATCCTAGAGAAAACCAAATTCCATACCTCGAAAGATCTCACAGAGGAGCAGGAGGTGATCCCATACTCTGTTACAAAAGTACAAAAACAACACTCATCAGATTGAATTTGCTCCCAAGAAGCCAGTCATTGACGAGTGGGCAATTATTTAAAATAGTCTGGAGAGGAAGAGCATGATATCAAAATTAACGTAAGAGTTTTGACATCAATATCTTTAGGATAATGGAAGGAGTTTCCAAATGAACATAATCTTTAAACTTCAATGTCTTGTAAAAATTGAAGGATTTTGTAAGTTAACATAATATTGTCGATGTCACATTATTGTCATTGTCACATTATTAAATTCGAAGTCAAGAACTATTGGTACCTTCGAAATTTCTGTTGTTTGTAGTTGTGAGCGTCTACGGTATCGACTACCGTGGTTTTATGTCAATAAATTTTTCGCTGAGTGGAGGCAATGTATTGATGACATTACCATATGTATATTCAGATTTGCAAGAACTGAAATGAGTGAAAGTATTTTGTTTTGGTTTTGTTATTTAACATGTATTGTTGGGGTTTGAGACATTGAAACTATATTCCTTTGATAATTAAGGTACACGAAGAGGTACTGCTTCATACAAGTGTTCGCAGATTCTATTCAATCGTTCTTGTCATGATGTAACGAGGATGCGATATATCTTTTCCAACAAGAAGAAAGGACAAATGTCACACATCCAATTTTGATCTTTTGATTATCTTTGGTTGTTGATGAGCAAACCAAGACTACTAAATTTATACTTTCTGGTTTTAATGATTTTAGTTTTCCGTTTTGCATTTTACTATATTCAGAGGATAATAATCACTATTTTCTCGCAATAATATATCAAACGTTATGGCGTTTTACCATAATTCTATATTAATGTCGTTATAAAAATTATACTCTTGACAAAATTAAATCAATAATTGTCTAAAACTTATAACCCTAAATGACTAAATCTGGTTTTAATCAACATACAACCCCGCGCCCGGCGCGGGGACCTCCCCTAATTTCATATTACAAAGAGTTTTATTCTATATTCTCTAATGTCACACCCATGTGGTTGCACAACTTGCACTTGCATCTTCCCTTTAAAAGGTTCTATTCTTCTCTTTGAATAAATTCGGTCGACGAAAAAGGTCTTTAGAACTCTTCCACAAGCCACAATTAATGTGGCATTCATTTGTTGACACTTTGAAAAAAGGAAGCTTCCAAGACAACTCAAAAGTCTTCAGTTCCCCTAAATACCCCCGTTGACTTCGTAGGATAGATGACCAAAAAAAAGAAACCGGAAGGGTATTCTCGTACTTGAGAAAATCCCGCCGCGTGGGTACGGCGGTTACGACTCTTATCATCTTCGTGGAACTAATCATTCATTTGAAAAAAAAACTCACTTTACTCCTTTTAAATCTTTTTATTAATGCTCTCCTCTTCCTCTGTCTAAAAGAACCGAACAAAAGAGAAAAGAGAAAGAAAAAAAAACTTACATTTGTCTCCAAAAATCTGAAGAGAAAAAAAATGGGAGAATGTAGACCTCTGGGTTTCTTATTAGGATTACCATTTGCTCTTGTTGCTCTCGTTCTTTCCCTAGTCGGTGCTGTTATCTGGATCATTGGGTACGTCCCCGGTTATTTCATATAAAAGTTCATACGCTTTATTATGTCGTTTTTTTAGATCATTTTCATTTTCAATCTTGAATCTTATTTCGGTTCGTGTAACTTCAGATCTACTAGATATGGTTTCGCTGCGTGAATTCTTTCTTACCAGAGAAGGAATATTAAAATAGTGATAAAAAAAAAAATGAATAAAATTTTGCAGGACAATATTGAGTTGCTTGTGCCCATGTTGCTTCTGTTTCGCTGCGTTGGCTAACTTCGCTGTTGGACTCATCAAACTTCCTATCAAAGTCCTCCGTTGGTTTACCCACTCCATTCCTTGTTAAGAAAGACTTGTTATTAGTTTCACTGATTATTTTTTTTATTCCTTCTTGATTTATGTAATTTTTTTTTTTTTGTAATCCATATCTTTTTTCACAAATCCAATATTGTCACCACGAAACTGATTAATAATCAATAACTTAACTGAATCAATATAGTACTATGGATTTGGGTAGATTATAAAAGCCCACTTTGAGTCCAATGTTGTAAATGGGCTTTATCGTTTAAAACTCTAGCTGAACCTGAACGGCTAGAGTTACGGTAACGAAGAAGATAAGAGAAGCCTGTGATGAAAACACGCGTCACCCAAGTAATCAGTGTTTTGAAGAGATTTCTCGAACATTCCACAGAATTCTCCAGACTCTGAGAAGAAACATCATGAATCCGCCGTTTTTAAGACCAAACTCTTGTAATCTTCAACTAAGAACTATCATAATAAATCCAGAAGAAACAGAGCAAATTTCATTTTTTCTGAACAATATATCAATAAGAATCAGGAAAAGTGAAGAAGCGAAAGAGAGAAGAAGAAGAAGGTCGGATGGGAGTGGATTACTACAAAGTCCTCCAAGTTGATCGCAACGCAAGCGACGATGATCTTAAGAAAGCTTATCGTAAACTCGCCATGAAATGGCATCCCGACAAAAATCCCAACAACAAAAAAGACGCCGAAGCTATGTTCAAACAAATCTCCGAAGCTTACGAGGTACATACATAGATATGTCTGAATTCGAACAAAAGATTCATCTTTATGCGTGTTTAGAATCTTGTTGAACAGGTTTTGTCTTAATTAGATTCTGTTGTAGTCTTTAGTTATTTCGCGCTTTTGCATATGGTAGCTGTGTCCTCTGTTCTTTCATAATTGTCTTCAGAGTATATTTTGAGTCTGTGTTCTTGTTTACTGATTCTCTGGATGCTTACAGGTACTAAGTGATCCTCAAAAGAAAGCTGTGTATGATCAATATGGTGAAGAAGGTTTGAAAGGGAATGTGCCACCTCCAGATGCTGGTGGAGCTACTTATTTCTCTACCGGGGATGGTCCAACGTCTTTCCGGTTCAACCCGAGAAATGCGGATGATATATTTGCTGAGTTCTTTGGGTTCTCTAGTCCATTTGGTGGTGCTGGCGGAAGAGGTGGTACAAGATTCTCTAGCAGCATGTTTGGTGATGATATATTTGCTTCTTTCAGCGAAGGAGGAGGCGGTGGTGGTGGCTCAATGCATCACGGTGGAGCTAGGAAGGCTGCTCCTATCGAAAATAAGTTGCCTTGTAGCCTTGAAGATCTTTACAAAGGAACCACCAAGAAGATGAGGATCTCTAGGGAGATTGCTGATGTCAGTGGGTAAGTCATGATCACTCGGTTTCTTATCTATGAACACAAAATGGTACTCTTTAGGTTTAGCTTGGTTATTCCCTTAAGAAACGGTTGGTTAGGATGTTTATTCCGTAATTCATAGTGAAAGCAGAGCCTTGATCATAGTTCATAGCCTTGCCGACTTGCGAAAATCGCATAGGCGGACCAGTTTGTGGTTGTTCGGTGTGGAAGCAGAACCTTGATCACAATTCATAACCTTGTTTAGTGGCGAAAATCGCATAGGCTGACCAATTTATGTGTTTTCTTGCAGCAAGACAATGCAAGTGGAAGAGATTTTGACCATTGATGTGAAACCAGGGTGGAAGAAAGGCACAAAGATCACATTCCCTGAGAAAGGCAATGAGCAACCCGGTGTGATTCCAGCGGATTTAGTCTTCATCATCGACGAGAAGCCTCACCCGGTTTTCACTCGAGAGGGTAACGACCTCGTAGTCACACAGAAGATCTCACTTGTTGAGGCCTTGACAGGCTACACAGTGAACCTGACTACACTTGATGGTCGAAGACTGACAATCCCAGTCACCAACGTGATTCATCCTGAGTATGAGGAAGTGGTTCCAAAGGAAGGAATGCCATTGCAGAAAGACCAGACTAAAAAAGGAAACTTGAGGATCAAATTCAACATCAAGTTTCCTACAAGGTTAACCTCAGAGCAGAAGACAGGAGTGAAGAAGCTTCTCGGCTAAATTGAGTTATAATTAGAAGATTCCGGACAAGGGGATGTAAACAGAAGAAGAACATCAAAGCTTCTTTATATCATGTTGGAGATGGCAGAGATTGTGATTAAATACTGTTAAGACCTTTTTGATCGATTTGTAACATATGTGCGATTGGATACATCCTAATAAATTTGTTGCTTTCTCTATAATCAAAACGCTTCTAAATTCGTACCTATAAAGGCAAGAGCATTGTTGTGTTTAGTCACATTCTGATGTGAAGTAAACAATTGCAACACTAGAGAGATCTCAGTCCAAAAAGGTTTACTATTTGTCACCTGCTACAAATTCCTGAACAACATTGTTCATCTCTATCAAACTACAACCTGGAGTTTCTTCATTTCAATCTGCGTAAATATTGCAAAGCAAAAACATAATTCCCCATATCCTCTGGCTCTAGCTCCACAAGATGATCCATTGCAACCAGAGCAACATCAAGATTGCCCTTTGTTTTGCAAGAGCTCAACAATGAACCCCATATCTTTGAGTCGGATTTCATCGGCATTTGTCTGTTATTTGAACAGCTCGTTCTAGTTTTCCCGCTCTTGCTAAAACATCAATCAAACAACCGTAGTGTTCGATCTTGGGTTTTATTTGAAAATCTTGTCTCATCATATCAAAAATTGGATAGCTTGACTGATCTTCAATAAGATCATTGCAAACACCAATTTGTTTTAGAAATCTTCTTCTCTCTGCATACATATGGATCCATTTGCCAAGCTCTAGAGATCCAAGATGCTCACACGACGGGAAAACAAAAATAACTCAGTGAGACTAGAAATGAGACTGATCTCATCTGGCTCAATACCGCCAGTTATTGCATTCATCTCTCTTTAATTAAACCAAGTCCGGTTTGTGCCGGTCAATAATGAAGTTGGTTCAATACTGATAAAGTAACATTGGGAATATGCTCTCTCTCCCCTACTTTACTCTCGGTACAGTTCATACTTGGTCATCATCATCGTCCTCCTCCTAGGGAATCACGATCCTTTGAGGTGATTATTCTCTGCACAAATCACTTTTCTCCTTTCCTCAGCTCACGGTGAGTCTCTGGAACGGATTGTACTAATCTCATTATTTTCCCGGTTTCAGAACGATTTCTGGAACATCAGTCCACACTCTGAGAAGAAACATGAGTCACCCCAGAAAGGCGGATGATATATTTTCTGAGTTCTTTGGTAGCCCTTCAGGTCCGAGAACTGCGGATGATATATCAGCAGAGTTCTTTGGGGTCTCTAGCCCTTCAGGTCCGAGAACTGCGGATGATATATTTTCTGAATTCTTTGAATTCCCTAGACCTTCTGCTGCTGCTGCTGGTGGTAATGGTGGCGGCGGCAAAGGAGGAGGTGGTGGTGGCGGCTCATCTTATCCCGGTGGAGCTAGGAAGGCAGCTCCTGTTGAAAAAAAGTTGCCTTGTAGCCTTGAAGACCTTTACAAAGGAACCACCAAGAAGATGAAGATCTCTAGGGAGATTGCTGGTGTCTTTGGGTAAGTCATGATCATTCCATGAACATGAAGTGGAACTCTTTAGGTTAGCCACTCGCTTAAGAAAGCGTTCGTTTGGTAATACATAGTGAAAGCATAACCTTGATCATAGTTGATAACCTTGTTGAGTGGCAAAAAACGCATAGGCTGACCAGTTTTATGTGTTTTCTTTTGAAAAAAACTTGCAGCAAGACAATGCAGGTAGAAGAGATTTTGACTGTTGATGTGAAACCTGGGTGGAAGAAGGGCACAAAGATCACATTCACGGCGAAAGGAAATGAGCAACCCGGTGTGATTTCAGCGGATTTAGTCTTCATCATCGATGAGAAGCCTCATCCGATTTTCACTCGAGATGGTAACGACCTCCTAGTCACACAGAATATCTCAGTTCTCGAGGCCTTTACCGGCTACACCGTCATCCTGACTACACTTGATGGTCGGAGACTGACCATCCCAGTCAACACTGTGATCCATCCAGAGTACGTGGAAGTGGTTCCAAATGAAGGAATGCCATTGCAGAAAGACCAGACTAAGAAAGGCAACTTGACTATCAAATTTAACATCAAGTTCCCTACAAGGTTAACCTCAGAGCAGAAGACAGGATTGAAGAAAATTCTCGGATGAATTGAGTTAAAATCAGCCCATTCCAGACAACACATTGTAGAATACGACAGGAAGTATCAAAGCTTCTATATATCTTGTTGGAGATGGCAGGGATTGTGATTAAATAATGTTGTGCCCTTTCTGATCGATTTGTAGCATATGTATGAATGAGTACTGCTGTGACCTTTCTGATCGATTCGTAACATATGTATAATTAAATACTGTTGTGATCTTTCTGATCGATTTGTAACATATGTATGATTGAATACGCCTAATAAGTTTGCTACTTCTTCCATAATTCAAACGCTTTTAAATCATACCGATAAATGCAAGAGCATTGTTGTTTTTAATCACATCCTGATCCTGATGTGAAGTAAACAGTTGCAACACTAGAGAGATCTCAGTCCAAAAAGGTTTACTGTTATCTCCTGCAACGAATTCCTGAACAATGTTGTTCACTTCTATCAAACTACAACCTGGCGTTTTCTTCATATTTTCCTTCCTTATAATCTTTCTCAATCTCGAAACATCCTCCCATTTTCCCAAATCTGCGTAGATATTGGCAAGCAAAACATAATTCCCCATATCATCCGGCTCTACCTCCACAAGATGATCCATTGCAACCAGTGCAACATCAAGATTGCCCTTTGTTCTGCAAGAGCTCAACAATGAACCCCATATCTTTGAGTCGGGTTTCACCGGCATTGTCTTTGTTATTTCAACAGCTCGTTCTAGTTTTCCCGCTCTTGCTAAAACATCAATCAAACAACCATAGTGTTCGATCTTGGGTTCTATCTGATAATCTTGTCTCATCATATCAAAATACTTCAACCCTTGTTGCCACAGACCAACATGTGAACAAGCTGATAAAAGACCAAGAAATGTGATCCCGTTAGGCTTCACCTTCGCTCTCTGCATTTCAATGAATGTTTCAAATGCTCGGTGAGCGTTCCCGTGATATGCATACCCTGAGATCATCGTACTCCATGATATAACATCTTTCCCTTTCGTTTGCTCGAACAATTGGATAGCTTGACTAAGCATACCGCATTTCGAGTACATTTCAATAAGAGCATTGCAAACACCAGTTTGTTTCAAAAGCCCTCTTCTCTCTGCATACATATGGATCCATTTCCCAAGCTCTAAAGATCCAAGATGCGCACACGAGGGTAGAACAGAAATGAGACTGATCTCATCAGGCTCAATACCAGCTAACTGCATTTCACGGAAGAAATCCATAGCCTCTACATAACAACCAATCCCAGTATACCCAGAGATCATCGCAGTCCAAGATACAATAGTTTTATCTATCATCAAATGAAACAACCCTTTTGCTTTCTTCATCTGCCCAAGCCTTGCATATCCAGAAAGCAAACTATTCCACGATATAACATCTCTCTCAGACATTTCATCAAACACTTTATGTGCATCAACAAGGTCATCAAACTTCATATACATATCAATCAGCGCATTCTCAGTCACAACATGGAACCTAGGCCCGAATTTGTAGAGATGACCATGAACTTGCTTCCCTAAATAACATGATCCAAGACTTGCACAAGATTTAAACATAAACGGAAACGTGAACCGATCTGGAAACTCAATGGTCTTCCTCAACAGTTGCTTGTAGATTCTGATCACATCGCAGTACAAGGAATTGTGTGTATAAGCACGAATAATGGAATTGTATAAGAAGACATTAGGATTCGATACTTGGTTAAAAAGACGAGTTGCATAATCCATATCTCCAAGCTTATCACATAAATCCACCATTTTAGTGACCATGAAGCTGCTTTGTGATAATCCATGTACGATGATGCAGGCATGGATCTTCTTCCATTCATTTCGGCTTTTGACTCGCTGTAGGAAAGGTATAAAATAGTTTTCAACTTCTCTGATTCCATGAAACGCCATTAAAGCTAGCTTTGAAAGCTCGTGGTGGTGGAATCAAATTGGCTCCGACCAAACACCGTTAAACCCAGATGTGTTGTGTCTCTATGCCCCTCTACGGGTTCACCATACTTGGGCCAAAAGCCAATTTCATTTCTAGGCCCGTTTTCAATCTTTTTCAATTTTCACAGCCTATTTTCCAGCTTTGTGCACATTTTTATTTCCAAATTTAAAGAACTTGTAAAAACATAATTTTTTTTTCTTGATCTCCCAAAAGAAAGACTACAAAACGCACGATAGTGTCTGAAATTCACAAGATAGAATCCATACTGTCTGAATTCACAGCTTTTAGTCTAAGAATCCGTGAATTGGAAAGACGATTATGGAAGAGAGAGAGCTCTGGCGTGGTTTAATCATATCATCCTCTACTTCTTGGGCTTCACATCAAGGTCCATAGCCTGTAGGTTAAGCAATAGATCGTTAGAGCTCAAGTAAACCTTATTTGCCGACTTTGAGATGGTCTGTGCGATCTCTCTGGCTGCTTCGATCTTCCTCAACGTTAAGAACGCTTGGTTGTTTGCGATTGCTTGACCTATGAGCTGAGCACTCTTGGCTTCTCCCTACATAAACCCACGCAGAAACATCAGTTTGCAAGATATAACACAATCTCTCGGGTTTTTTTTATACGAGCTCGAAAAGAGAAAAGCATTTTTCACACCTCGGCGCGGATAACAGCACTTCTCTTGTCCTGTTCAGCTTTCTCCACAATGAACTTAGCCCGCTCGGCCTCTTGAGCTGCCACCTGCTTTCCTTCTATGGCTGCTGTGAACTCCTTTCCAAATGTCAAGCCTGTGATGGACACATCATCCAGTGCAATGTGGAAGTTTGCAGCTCGTGCAGTTAAAATTTTCCTGATTTCTCTACTCACCGACTTGAAAAACCCCAACGAAAAAAACACATCTCCATTAAAAGGGACAATAATTTACCAGTGAAGAGGAATCAATAAAATGTATTTACTGCAAGTTAGCTAACCTCTCTCTGAGTAATAAGCTGGCTCGCATTGTACTGAGCAACAACAGCTTTCAAGGTCTCGTGGATGATAGAAGGCAAAACTCTCTCGCGGTAATTCTCACCAAGGGATCGATATACCTCTGGTAGTTGGTTGGCCATAGGACGGGTGAGAACACGAAGCCCAATCTTAACCTGAATGTTTAAATCCCACACAACATAAGCTTATCATATAGTTCATAGACCAAAACCACTCGTCCAGATTAAACCCATTAGTATTAGAAGGGAGAAAATGAAGCGGAATACCATCTGGAGATCACGGCTCCCAGATGTACTTTCGACTAGATAAGGCTTTGCACGAACGTCATAGATGATTGGCCTTTCGAACCACGGAATCATAAGGTGAGTACCCTCAGGGTAAACCTACATAATCAAATCAAGCAAAGATATACTATTAATAGTGCATCAAAATGACTTTTGCAAACAATAATCAAAACTAGAATAACAACAAATCAACCTTGTTTACTTAAGCTAGGTGCCGCAAACACAAGATTCACTACAAACGCTAAGCCTAACCTAACTTGAGCTAGATGTCACAACCACAAGATTCACTATTAATGCTAAGCCTAACCTAACTTGAGGTAGATTTCACAAACACAAGATTCATTGTCAATTTACAGATTCAAAAGAAACCAATTTTTTGCAGGGGGACTAACCTTGTCTTTGATACCAACAAGCCGGTTAAAGACGATGGCTCGATGACCTCCATCGACATTGTAGAGAGAGTGTGTAGCGCCGTAAAGACCGAGCCCACCAATAACCACCGCAGCTATAACACCACCACCAGGACCTTTGGGAACTTTGACATTCTTAAAATTCATCGTTTTCACAAACACCTGCAGATTTGCAAACCAAAATCAAAATCGAAGGCTTTTGTAAATTAGACCCAAGGAAAAATTGGATCGATGATAAAGAAACAAAAATGATCTGCAAAATTAGCTGAAACAAAACAGAAACTTAGAATCACATAACTGGAGCCGAAGAATATGTAGCTTTACTCGCTTAAACTCAGAATCCGATCTATATGGAAAATGGTGAGAGGAAGTACCTGAAAATTCTGGAAATGGCGAGGAGAAGAGAGAAGAAGAGAGGGGTTAGGGTTTAAAGCTCAGCAATCAGGATTTTGTTGAATCTTTGGTCGATCATGCAGTTTCTCTTACTAGAGATCTTTGGGCCCAACTTTTTTAGTCAAGCCCATTAGTCAATCCACAATTCCCATATTTCAATTTGACAAACGTGAAAATTTCTTTTTGATTAATAGACTGTAGATTATTATCACTTACAAAAGTGTAACTTCAAAAACCATATTTTCGTTGCAAAGGCTCTTAAAAGTATGGTAAGAGACTAAGAGTATTTAACCAAAAATAATCGTTAGTTGTGGTTATTTTTGTTGATAAACTCACTCTGGTTTAGTAATCAACAAGGTTAAAAAAAAACCAAGAGCTAAGCTGTTATCATCTATATTATTAATTGGGAAGCATTGGATAATAAATAACCTTATAAAGGGTAAAGAATTACAAAAAATGACATTGGTTTTTAGTGTTTTTAAATAACCTCATTAAGGGTACAATAGTAATCACAAAATTAAAATATTTAAACAAAAAATAGTTTAATTCTTTTAAATAATTATTAATTTCCAAAAAAAATAAACTAATTTTCTCTCTCTTATTAATTATAAACGAAAATTTGAAATTAATTTTTAAAAAATTGTTAACCAATAGGAATTGAAAAAATAAGATTTGATATCCAACTAAGATTTTAATTCAAAAATAAAACAAATTTTAATAGACTATTCTATATCAAAAATAAAAAGAAAAATAATATCATTTTAATTCAAAATTAAAAACACTATCATTTAAAAGATTTATCAATGGAGGAATTTAAAATTAAATTTAAAATTGTGTAAGAAAATTAAATACAAATATTTTAAGATTCAATTTTGTTATAATATTTTCACAAATTTTAAAATATAAAAAAAATTTTATTTCACAATTTCTAAAATACGATATTAGGTATTAACAACTCTTTATATTTATGATGAAATAAACTCAAATAATAATAAATTTAAAGTAATTATCATTATAGCTTTCGTTTAAAGCAAGTTTGATAAATATCTAACAATCTATTGTATATATTAAATTTTAAATTATTTTGCGTTTTATTTTTTGCTTTTCAACCGGATCTTCCTTAAATAAATCCCTAATATATTGCACACAGTTTTCAAATAATGTAAACTAATTATATATTTTGAATTCAAATTATGCAGCAATAGCATATCCCTTTTAAAGATGTATCTCAAATTTTTATTTTTAGTCCAAAAATCAAATTAATTATGATTAAACAATAAAAAGAAGAATATGCAAAATTTAGCTAAGGAAAAAAACATTAATAAATTTGTTAAAATATATTTGTAACTTTAGCAGCATATATATTAATCTACAAAACTCACAGTATGTATTGTATGGTATTTAAAAGTACGCAAATAAGAATTTGGAACATGATTTTAATGGAATGAAATGAGAATAGGAATTACGAGACGGGATGAGAGGGGGACATAAATTAAAATTCAAACTAAATACCCAACTGGTATGAGTTCAGGTTATAAGCACTATATAAAATAGATTTGTTTACATACATAACCATGTACGTACATTTTCAGTTACACATATTCTATTTATGCCGGATACTGGACTGTCATATTTTTATTTCACGTATACAAGACGGGTTATGGGACCAAGAATTTATGACAGATATATGACGGAATATGTTTCCCGTTCTAAAATAGTTACGCCTAACTAATATACATGAAATAACCAAACTCAAACGGAATCTATATCCTATTTAACACATATAATCAAACTATTAGAAATGTTTTGATTAGTTTAGAAAATAAAAAAAGTAACATCATTTAACTTTTGCAACTAAATTATATCTTAGTTTTATCTTAAATATAATTTCGCACGTACGTGTAGGTCCGGATCTTAAAATATAGTTATGCACTAACGCAACTGAATTTCGTTTATTGCTCTAATTTTATATTATTTGTACTATTATAAAGTTCACTAACACAACAAAATATTTTATATTTTTAAAATCTATATAACAATTTCTATAAAAAATATCTCTACACGTACGTGTGAATCTAAATCTAATACACTAAAATATATATCATAAAAACAACGAAATAATTTATATTGAATTAAAATTTGTTAGAACTTTTTAAATAATATAAAACCCCGCACGTACGTGCGGGTCATGATCTAGTATACTATAAACGAAACAAATATTTGAAGCCTTTTTAGGGGTCGACAATGTATAACTACATCAAGGACAATAATTAAACGTCAAAATCAATAGTCATCATTTAATTTAAGAATACATGTAAATATGTAATAAAGGAAGTATATTTATTTTATAGAATAAATAAGAAGATTACAAAGCAGAAATTCCAAAACATAGATGAATCAAATCAGTCATGCAAACAAATTAAATTAAATGGTAGTTACTTGGGAACGTTTCCCCGCTTTTAGTTAAGGTTCAAGAAATATATATAACCGAACAACAAAACAATGCAAAGCCAAGAACAATCCGTAGACTTGTCTTCTTCATGCTTGATCCGGCAGATTTGTGCTCATCATCACCAGCTGGAGAATCGGCATCAGACGATGAAGTTGTGGATTTCGGGGCCGGAGCTCCGGTGGGAGTGGTCTTTGTTCCGAACAACTCTTCGGGTAACAACACACTGTCCACCACGTAAACTGCTAGTGGAAACTGTTGTCTTAATGCATTATTGATCCGAGTCTCAACAACACCCGTCGAAACATTCACTTGGTTGCTTTGTGCTTGTCCTGTAAAATTTAATCCAAAAACGCCTCCTTCATATCCCGTAGCCTGAGTTCTAATGGGATTACTTGCTAATAGAAGATCGCTCAGAGAGTAGTATTTTGGAATGATATGGTAGAGCATGAGCTGGATTTGTTGTTGATATGTGAGACTGTTTAAAGTTCCGGGTTTAAGGTTGTTGAATGCGTTATCTGTTGGTGCAAATATAGTCATCCCTTGATCAGAGCTATTGAGTTGAACACTTACCTGAAACCCCACTTGAGTTGTGTTGAGGAGTCGTATTAATGTAGTAAATTGGTGACCAGTTTCAAGAATCGCTGTGAGATTGATGGGACTTGTTTCGGTGGTCGGAGCTGGAGCAATGGGTTGGCTTTGAATGTATGGGATGGTGAAAAGGAAGAAGAAGAGGACAACAGAAGAGAATATTGATGAAGACATGGCTCCAAATTTGTTTTTTCCTCTTTGTGTTGTGCTTGTGCTAGCGTTAAGCCTTTAGGTATATATATAAAGAGTTACGGAGAGATTTAAGATGACATGTATGCGTGACTTGCGAAATGGAAGTGCAACCATTGTTTTTAACAACTTAGTCTACATTTTACGATAATGTTTATAATTAAGAAATGCAAAACACTAAGAAGGTTGACAAAATAGTATTTATATATATATGTTATAATTATATTTATATCCCACATCCAATGAGAGATTTGTGGAGCAATATATATATATATATATATATATATATATATATATATAGTATAAAATATACAAACTCATGGTTCACCAATCACCAGTTACATTACACATGATTCATGTATATCGTTACATTTTTATGAATTTAAAATGATGTGGATACGTGTATATAGTCTGGCATTGATAGGCATCGTGGGGCTCATATTAACAACGAAACTGCTCTACATGACATTGGTTTGGAACAATTTTACAAAAGGCCCATCAAAAACATGAAAAATTAACCAAAACTGCTGTAAGCAAAGTTCGAATCATAATAATCGACTAAAGAAACTTTTTTTGAATTTTGTGACTTCTCTTATTACAAATTAGGGACAGCGTTGTACAGTACATGGTTTAGGATTAAGATCGATCGGACCTCTTGTGGGCACATGGTGCGGAGCATGCATAGTCACGTGAGGACTGACGACGGCATGCAAAAAAAAAAATCAAAGCTTTTATAGCAGCAGATTCAGACAAACTCATGTGCGTTTCTTAAAATGACGTTTATACCCCCTAATAATTATGTATTCACTCTATCGAATTTGACAGAAAGATCTCGTTAATTTGAATTCTAAGGGTAAAACCGTCAAAGTGTGTGTCTCTTTTTCCGAGGTAGCAATAGACAAATTGAGGAGACCGATAACTCAAGCAAACTCAGATTCTTGAGAGCGATTTAACGAAGAAGGCTAAAGAAGACCCAAGAGTACCAAGACAAAGGGCTGATTAATGCTTTTCTAGGCATATCATGGACTCACTTTGTTCTCCGAGTCGAATCGTTCTAGTCACTTTCTTCCTCCTCTGCTTCTTCGCCGGAGCTTTATCGGCGACAAGACCTGGTTTCGTCTACACCAGACACAGAGGACGATGCACGCCGCAGTAATCAATCAATCTTTTCTTTAAATCTTTAGCTGAGTCAGATCTAACTCGCTAGTGTTTTTTGCGTTTGGTTTCAGGTATTGGAGCAGCCAGAGGGAAGCATGGCCGAGGATGGTACCGGAGAGATCAACGGTAGAGAAGATATTCGGAGTGATGGTAGCAAAAGAACGGTGGAGATCTGATCTAACGCTAGTGGAATCAACGGCTAGGAATGACGAAGAAGGTAACGCGTACGGTGCGTTGCTGAAACAGGGGATCGCAGCTCTTGTCAATTCTTACGCCAGAAGAAGTTTCTCTTATGCACCATGGGAAGTGAAGACGATGCTGATTCAAGCCATGGTTTCGGAGCCGGCTGCTCGCCGGCAAGCCGAAAAGTTCGCCGTCGCTAACGTGGCTTGTGACTAAAAAAACACTGAGAATCTAGTTACTTTTGTCGTCTTTAGGTTTGAATTTAAGCTTTTTGTCGTGTACCCAAGTTTGCTACTAGATGATGGGCCTACGTTTTTACAAAAGCTAAGAGGCCCAAATTAAACAGAGACCATGAGTGTTTTGTAGTGTTTGGAAACGACTCTTCTTATATACTCTCGTGTTTGTTTATTAACCCGATTAGGGATATGTATATCCGTGTTTCCAAACAAATCTCTAAAATATGGTACGGACTACGGACAGAGAAACCTCGTATCTCTCTAGGGCTTAAGGCAAAACTAGAAATCTAATCCCGTCTTCTTTGGTTTGTTCGTCAAGTAATTTTTTGAACTTTCCATTTTCTTCCAAACGATAGAACTAGAGATATGTTGTTGTGTATATTAGTCTCAATCTAAATCATCCCCTGTGATTCTTTCTCGAGAGCAGCCTGCCAGCCTCTGTTTCTTCAAATCTTGTTGTACAATTCACTACGAAGAAGATTGTTCTAATGGCGACTAGAAAGATAATTCGAGATTTACTGATCACAAAGCAGCCTCTTTTACGTCAACTATTCCACCAACGAGTTCTGGTGAATATTTTGTTTCTTTTTCTTGTAGTGAATTTGTGATTAGGATCATCAAATTGGTTGATTGATTTGGTAATTCTGTATTTTATTTAGAGAGGAAACACAAGATCAGAGTTTCTTCCCGCTATTGGGTATTCGAGTCATCGCCGGTTCAGTGTTTTCAGCGAGTTCTCGAAGAATATTAGAGGAGAAGCTGATAGGTAATGTTATGTATGCTAGAACCAGTGAAGAACAGAACCGTTGTATTAGTTGATGATGTTCTTAGTTCAATTTCTTTTAAACCTTGTTGATGTTTTTGTTGTTGCAGCAATCCTGAATTTCAAAGAACAGTGAAGGAGTTTAAGGAAAGAGCAGAAGAGTTTAAAGGTGTAAAAGAGGACCTGAAAGTTAGGTAATTTAAACATTTGTAATTGAACTTTACTTAGGGATAATACATTGTATGTCAAAAGGAAGCTTATGAATGAGATGGCTAATGCAGAACGAAACAAACGACTGATCAGCTGTACAAGCAAGTTGATGGTGTGTGGACTGAGGCTGAATCTGCGCCGAAAAAGGTATGGTTCTAGTACACGAGCCTCGCTATCTGTCTTCGCTTTGTTTTGTAGATTAGTTTTGGTTACTAAATAGTTTTACTGATGAAAATTGCTTTAGTGCACTTTTAACTCAATTGTTATGTGTATGAGTAGCCAACTTTGTACATTGTAAAAGGCTAACAATCGTCCCTTACAAAACAGCTTTGACGGTGCAGGTCTCTTCTAGTGTGAAAGACAAGCTCTCAGCAGCCACTGAAGAGGTCAAGGAGTCATTCAAGCTCGGGAAGGAGGAGAGTGCAGAGTCAGCAAGTTCATCAGGCACAAGAACCTCTCAAGGAGAAAAACAGCAGCATCAGCAATCAGGTTCTACGGAGGAACTACATACATTTTTTGCAAAATTCAAGTCAAGTCTTTCTTCGCCAAAGGTATCCGAGGCGTTTTACAAGCTGAAGGAAGCCAAACCCTTTGACATAGTAAAGAAGGCACTTGACATTGTGAAAGATGAGTTGCGTGGAAACCCATCAAGAAAGAAGTTCCTGGAATATACACCTCCCCCGCCATTCACAGGTGAGAGAAGTATGAGAACGGAGATGGTTGTTACGCCAACAAAACAGTCTAAGTGGCAACAAAAGTGGGAATCCTTTAAAGAAAAGGTAAGTAGCCATCTCTGTCTTTTCCACTTATGCCATGTTTTAAAGGCCCTTGTTGAGTGTTTTCCTTAAATTTGCTTTAGATGCAAGGCTCTCCTGTATTCAAACGTCTAAGCAGGATGAGTGAGCCTGTTGTCAACAAGAGCCAAGAGGTAACAAACATATTCTCTTTACTCATTTTGTTCAATCATCTTATCTTGCATTACTCTCTTTGCTGATACTTCTCCAAGCAGATTGCAGAAGATGTGAGGGAAATATGGGAAACCAGTGATAATCCGATTGTTCACAAGATTCAGGAGTATGCTCTAAATGCTCCCTTACTATATTCCTTAAAATGTAACTTATTTTTTTCTCTCTTACATGTGCATTCTTTTGTTTTGGCAGTATGAATGAGATGTTCTTGAAGGAAACAGATTCTGCATCAACTTACAAAGAGATACGCAACCGAGATCCGTAAGTTGTATAGATGCTTATTTATTGGTTTGAAGATGTGCCTCTGGTTATAATAATATTCTTATCTCTTTCATGGTTAGATCGTTCTCCTTGCCAGACTTTGCTGCAGAAATTGAGGAAGTCATCAGACCAGTCTTGAATGCATACAGTGAGGTGAATCTCAGTTTTGAAATAGATCATCTCCTCTTATCCTCGTTTTTGTTGCTTCTAAGTAAATTTAAATCTCTGTGTAGGGAGATGTTGAGACCTTGAAGAAGTATTGCAGCAAGGAAGTGATTGAACGGTGCACCGCAGAACTCACAGCTTACCAAACTCATGGTTTCTTTTTCGATAACAAGGTAAGGTTTTCGTAGGGGATTCTTGTTCTCATGAAGTCATGTAAATCCATGAGTAAGTTGCTTCATTTTGATGTTGCAGCTTCTGCATATATCTGACGTTCGAGTTTCAGTGACAAAGATGATGGGAGATTCCCCAATAATCATCGCCAAGGTAATGATCTTTATCTTTTCTTGTGAGGTTATTCTTTAGCTAAGAATTGGATCTGATGGAGTTGTCATCTTTGATGTCAGTTCCAAACGCAAGAAATCTACTGCGTGCGCGACGAGAATGGAGAAATCCAAGAAGGAGGCCAGGTAAAAAAGGAAACTGTGAATCAAAATCATAAATCAATCCCCAAAACATATGTGCAATGCCTAAGTGCTTAAAGAATTTGTTGTCGTTGTTGTTGTTGTGTTGGATTTAGGACACGATACACACGGTGTACCACGAATGGGCAATGCAACAAGTGGAGGCAACAGAGTTTGGGGAAGATGCTATTTATCCCATTTGGAGGCTCAGAGAGATGCGTAGAAATGGTGTTCAAGCTCTCATTTAAATCTTTTTATTAATCTTTTAACCTAATCATAGAAGCTAAGCCTCTCTAATAGATATGATTCTTTAATTTCTAAAAACATAAAACTTTTTAAGGGCAAACTCATAAAAACAAATATGATTATTTATACTGAAGAGATTAGGTTTTAGGAAGCAGCGTAGAGATTAAGCAAGAAGAAGGAATACTGTTGGCTGCTTTTGTCTAGTCTTGCGTCCGATCTAAGCTGAACACAAACTTCTATATAATCCTCTGCTTATCTCCCTTTGCGTTATCCACCAAGTTTTTCTCATCTCTCTTCACTCTCTCAATCTCAACAATCTTAAGAGTCATGTCTTGCCTGAGAATTAGGCTTTTACCTGCTAAAAGAGCTTGGAAAAGCTTCACCGCCAGCTTCCATAAACTCCGGAGATCCAAAACTAAACACCACACCAAGTACAGTGCAGCAACTTCGGACAAACATTTCTTTCGTTCAAGCCACACATCCGGGAAGAAGCTTCGAGACAGAGATTCCCGTGTTTTTTTCACCCGTCTAAAGAGAGGTTGTTTGTTCAAGAAGAAACGCAAAGCTGTTGTCTACGTTGATAAGCTCTTCAGGGAACCTATGGCTGTATCCAATTGGATTCCAGCAAAGCAGTGGAAGCCGAAGGAGGAATTGTTTCCGGAGAAGGGAATAGACCAAAGAGCCGAAGAGTTCATCACTAGAGTAAAAGCAGAGATTCTCGCTTCACGCAACTTGTAGTACCCATCATCAACACAATGTATCAAGACATTATAAGTAATAATTCTTCTGTGTATAAATAGACCAATTACAACTATTCTGTACAAAATTCTTGTCTTTGGCTTTTAGCTCGAGTCTGTAATCATTCTTGTAAATCCTATCTATTACATATTGCTCGTAGTAACAAGAGAGATACTAATAAAATTATGGATGTGTATACTTTTGTGAAAAGGTCACCTGATAATTAAATTGCCCATTTGATGAGAAACCCGCACTGGCATTTTAGTCCTTTGAAATCCGAACGATCAGCCCAGAAGTTGTCTGAACAGTTTTCAGGTGACCGGAGCCAATGAGATCACGTATGTGAAATCTCACATCCAGAGGAGAGAACCGGAGCCGTTTCTTTTCAAGCTCTGCCAAGAACATCTCTTTATGTCGCTTGCGCTTTAACAATGAGAGGAGTTCGTTCCTTCCCTGATTGTTGGATTGAGGGCAAGCAAAGGTTATAAGGAAATCACTTGGGGGAGGAAATTGATAAAAGTATATATAGAGGTACCTGCAATAGACCCTTCCACAGTTTACCGATACTTGGAATTGCAAACCAGTACATGTCTGGATCAATAAGTTGGCGTGTCTGAGATAAAATTATTTCTAGTTAAAAGAGGGAATGAGATACGTGGAGCAGCAGATAAGTAGGGTAGAACTGTTTACTTACGAGAAGGCCTGCGTTAATTAAGAGAGTGATGTGTGCATCTTTCACCTTTCCGCCCAATGACAACAGCGAAAACTGCAGATAAATATTGATAGCTTGTGAAAATTCTAAACTCATGTAGACAGAAACTGATTAGTAGAGAGCAAAAAGATTAAGTGACGTACTAGCTCATGATGTCCAATACTGGGTTCAAGTTTTGAATCAAGGACATGCCCTTTGAACCACTTAAAAACTTCAAGATCACTCTGTCTCTTCTCTTCCATCCTCTTCACTATTCGATCTACCTAACATATGGATTATAAAAAGAATGAGGATTGTCGTTTTTAAATGTTGTTCACATATATTTGATTAGCTAAAAATTGGAAGAATACCAATAGTAAGAAATCAAAACTATTCATGAGACCGTTCCAAAAAACTAAAGCTAACACATGAACAACACCAAAGCCTCTTGAAATGCAGCAAAATACCAACCTGGTTAAGATAGTCATCCAAAAAGATAATTGCATGATCATCTTGTCCAGTGTTGAGTTTGAAAACACGAACAACTTTCTCCCTTCGTAAACACTGCACCAAATTCAAATTGATCAATCCAAAGAACCCTAGGAAGCCCAATAGAGATGATAAAAGATGGGAAATTTGATAGAACCCAAAATACAAACATTCGACAAGCAAATATAGAAATAGCAATAGCACCAAACTAGTTCAACCAATAAAACCGCAATTACGATACAAACGCAAATGCAGAGGGTTCTAAACTTACTAAGAAACACCTTAGAGATACAATGCAGCGGTTATAATTTCATTTGTTCGATGCACATTTCATTTTTCTAAAGGTTTCATATTTCAAATCAAAACCACACCTATATAAAGGAATTGCAAAAACAGAAACCCTGTTTACTAAACTTGTTGTCAAGAACAGAAAGTATACCTCTAATTCTCTATCGACTTGGGTTCTATCATTGACACTACTGTATAACTGCGACTGTAATATGAAGGGTGGGGTCGAAGCCTGAAACAGATGAGTAGAGGCAGGAGACGAAACAGCTATAAGAATACATCAACGTACAAAGAAATTGACAAAACAAAGAAGAAAAAGGAGATACTTTTAAGGTGTTTAACTAATTTTCAGAGTGTCCAATTTAGTCAAATCGATTCGAATAGAATGGAACCTGATCAATACGAGGAAACTGAGCTCTCATCATTCGTAGTGCCACACAAGTGTCGCTAAAGGTGAGATCATCCTCTGATACGAACCAATTTTGAATTAGAGCTTCAATCTCTCCCAATTACAAAAGATTCAAAACTTACCCAGAGGAAGACATTGATCTTCAATTGCAGTGTGACTACAACCCACTTCTTCTTCATCTTCTTCCTCTCGCCGGCGTTTCTTTGCTTTAGAGGCGGACGATTCCGGATTTGTTCTTTTCTTCATTTTTTTTTTCTTTCTCGCAGAAAACAAACAAACTGTGAAAATGAATTTTATCGACAAACGGACAATTTTCATGGGCCTTGAACAAAAGGACCAAAAGGCCCAAAACTTCATTTTTCGTTGGTATTTTTTTCTAGTGTAAATTTTGTGTGTGTTGCTGATCTCTGGTTACTGTCTGTGATTCTCTGTTTTTAGTTTCTTACTTGCGCCAGTAGTATACTTTATATATCCTCTTAAGATTTTTGAATATTCCTGATCATAAATGGGCACTCTCAAATTCTTGATGTAAATCAATCTTTTAAGTGTCAGGCTTGACGAGGATAGGTAAAAATTGGTCTTAACTCATACTATTTGAAGACATTATGATTCCATTACTTGCGCCATTACAAAGAAGGTTTAAGTCGACATTTCATTAAGAGACAACATAGCAAATTAAAAAAGAAAATCAAAACCAACACAAAGCAAGTGATTTGCTTCTTAGCTTTCATCAGTACTTGACAGGTGCGTTCTGGGTCGGTAAGAGACCAAATCGCTTCTTCAACAATACTCTCTGCTTTGAGTATTTATCATCAGGGGAGAACCGGGCTGCAAATAGCACAAAAGATTTAATGGTTTATTTCTTTGCTGAATCAAACTACAACAACACAAAATGGTCTCTAAGTCAAGACTCACCTGGATGGGCAGATTCAGTGGCTAGACCTAGTGGTGATTCCTTCTGCACAATGAGTTTGATACATGTGTAAGCACAAAGTAACAACACAATTTGTAAATGGAAACAGTGAGCAGAGTTTTCAGAGAGTCCATAACCAAAACCAAACTCATAGAAAAAGTATCAACAAGTATGCTTTTGTGAACCTTTACAAGAGATTAAAACATGGAAATTTAGTAATAACAAGTCAAACAAAACCAAGCTCAATGTGTATGAAAGAACTTATATATCTGCTAAAATGAAGATTAAACAAGCAAAACCAAACTCAATGTGCCCGAAAGAACTTCTATCTTCCTAGCTTAAGATAAATCAAACAACAAATTTTAAGATTAAGCAAACAAAACAAAGCTTCATGTGTATCAACGAAATTTTTAACCTTTAACAACTATAGACATGTATATGAAACTACCTATAATAAAGTCTGTAACTTTTTGCTCATGAACAAAAACAGAGATTTATTTCCGAATCGTAGAAACACATGAACAAAGTTATAAACTAACGAATTAAGAATACTGAAGAAAAGAAGAAGAGATGAGCAAAAGTAAAGGTACCTTAGTGGTGTAAACCTTGTCACCCTTCTCGTTGATATAGCACTGAAGATACATCGTCGTTGATATAGCACTGTAGAGATAGTCTTTAAGTTAGAGCTGACGAAAAGAGAAAACAAAAGTAACAGAGCTGATTAGGATTCATAGAACAAGATCGTACCTCAGAGATGTTACTTGGTTTTGAATTTTTTGGAGACAAGAAGCTGATTAGGGTTTTTCTGGAGCAGAAGAAGCAGAGGTTTTACGGCGACCCTCGTCAATGTGTATATAAAGTTCTCCACGAAAAAACAAAATGGGCTTTTTTGATGTAAGCCCAATATGGGCCTACTGTATTATAAGCCCAACTATTGCACGTCACCACGGTGATTCTCACTCACTCAAACCCTAAAGGTAAATTTCCGAGATTCGATTCTCCGGCGCGAAAGAGAAAACGATGAAGAAATCTACAGAGACTCCGGCGAGATCGAACGAAACTGTTAAAACTCAGAAACCTCCTTTCAGACCTGCCGTTGATGACACCAAACCTGTTCTTCAGGACCCTGTAAGGATCTCTCTCTTTCTCTGTTCTCCGTACATTGTGTATTTTCGATGTCCTTAACGATGATATATGAGCTAAAGATCACTAATTTCGATTTCAATTTTCGATTTATGCCTTTGGTTTTCGGTTTTGTTAACTGAGTGTTATCTGGAATGTGAAAGTTAAATGATTCATTGAAGAATGTGAATATGTAGATAGAAAGAGCACAAAGAGATCATCAAGAATAAGAACAGATCATGAATCATTTGTTCATTTAGAAAGCCATAGAACTTAGAGCTTCAGATTAAACACAAATTTTTGTTTTTGTAGTAAAAGAGCCAATTTTCATTCGGATTTGAAGTAGAATTTCAAAGCCAATTGGTGAAGCTCACTTCATTTAGAAGCCATTAGCAACTTCCATTTGAATACATTCTAGTTACAAAGAGGATCATTTTCCACCGGTGTCGATGTTTTTCCATAATGAAATTCTGAGTTCTTTCTTGTGCGGGTTGTACTGTTTTGTGCCAATTGTTTCAAGTGTTGATGTAACATCTGGAGTCCAATGCCTCTTCTTACGTTTATTTTCTCAATACATGTTATCTTGAATGATTTGGTGAATCTTAATGCAGTTTGTAACATTTTTTTTTATTAGATTCTGAGATCGGATCCAATGGAGACAGAAGAAGCTGTGCTGAGATTGCCTCCTTTCCCAGTGATCAGACCATCTGAATCATAGCTACCCGGATTAATGAGGTTTTTTATCTGATTCGTTTGACATTTTGAGGTTGTTGTTGATTGTAAAAGCCAATGAGGGTTTTGTGTATGCTTGATAAGGTTAAATTACATTCCGCTGCTCCAGCCCCAATCAAAGTATGCACTTCATCGATAAATAAGATTATCTCGTCGCTCTGTCTTATTTCCTCCATAAGCTTCTTTAATCTCTCTTCAAACTCTCCACGATATTTTGTTCCAGCAACTAGTATATGCATGCAACATTTTAATGACGTAAATGACTTTGAAGGGTAATGTTTCTTTAGCTTTGTCGTCTATGTTTGATTGTTTTCATATGTTTGTTTGTTTATAGTTGTTGGGGCCGTGATTCTTCAGCTTGATGAACAAAGACTAGTGTTGCAACCTTTTGATTTAGTTAGAGGGTTTTGTATTCATCACGTGAGAATCACGTGGAGTCAGTTAAATGGTTGTTGCAACGACTCAGGGTTATAATGGTCTTTACAAATTGGAAATGAGGGATGTTTCTTTTCTTAAACAAAATATTATTGATTTTGTAGACTTTTGAATCAAATATGCGAGTAGTAAAAGATATATTAGTTATTAAAAAATCCAAACATATTATTAAACTTGATTTTTCTATAAAAATATAAAACCAACAAAAAAAAAATGAAGAAAAAGTCTGCATGAAAGCATAAGAGAAAATCACGGTGAGAACAAGGTAGACATTGATCCTTTCTTGATCAACATTGTAAAATGCACCAATCTATATATATATATATATATATATATATATATATATATATATATATATATATATTATACAAGCTTATCTGATTAAATGGTATATACCATAAGATTCATGCGAAATAGGTGCTAGGCTCGAGAGACTTTCACGCTCATTCAATTCCTCTTTTCTTCTCTTTCTCCTTTCCTGACTTTTGTTTTTTTTTTCCTGCTTCGCTTTGAATCTGTCACGTTAAGGTTGTTATTGAAATTTTCAAAGATCGTAATGTGTTTTTGATCCTTTGTTTCTCAGATGATTCCAATTCGTATGGTGATGTTTTGATTATAGTGATGATGTGTGTTGATTTCGAAATTATTGTTTGTTATGCAGAACGATTGGTTGATGAGAAGATGATGAATCATCACTGAAATTTGAGTTTTTAAATCTGTGTTGGGTGTTGAAGAGTAATGGATTCTGCAAAAGGTTGGTTTCAGAAGAGGCAGATGCGTGGAGGATCCAGATATAAGGGTGCTTCAGGTGGTGGTGGAAGTAATGGCTCTGCCGATGAGCACAACGTCGAAACTGATGAAGAAGCTGTTTCAAACACTACCAAACAGAAAGTTGCAGCAGCTAAGCAGTACATTGAGAATCATTACAAAGAACAGATGAAGATTCTACAAGAGAGGAAAGAAAGGTATTCTCTTTATTTTGTTTCTCTACCAAAATGTAGATTCTTGATTAGTTGCGTGATTGTGTGCTTTCTTTTGCTTAAACAGGCGAAGCATGCTAGAGCAGAAGCTGGCGGATGCTGATGTCTCTGAAGAAGATCAAAACAATCTTCTCAAGTTTCTGGAGAAGAAGGAGACAGAGTATATGCGCCTTCAACGCCATAAGTTAGGTGTTGCTGATTTTGATTTGCTTACAATGATTGGGAAAGGTGCTTTTGGGGAGGTATGTTTTCTTGACTCCATCTGCGTGGGAACACAAATTTCTTTGGTTGTTAAAAGGATATGTTGTTTGTTGTTGTTTCTCTAGGTTAGAGTTTGTAGAGAAAAGACGACAGGTCAAGTTTATGCAATGAAAAAGCTCAAGAAGGCGGAGATGCTTCGCAGAGGCCAGGTGCGACTTCCCTATCTATTGCTACTTGATGGTCTTTTCTGTGAATCAATCATCTTTTGACTTCATAACTCATGTTTTTTTCAAGGTTGAACATGTGAGAGCAGAGAGGAACTTACTTGCGGAAGTGGACAGTAACTACATAGTGAAGCTCTACTGTTCATTTCAAGATGATGACCATCTTTACCTTGTGATGGAGTATTTGCCTGGTGGGGATATGATGACTCTGCTGATGCGCAAAGATACTTTGACAGAAGAGGAGGCCAAGTTCTATGTCGCTGAGACAGTTCTCGCCATCGAGTCCATCCACAGGCACAACTACATCCACAGGTTCAGTGAGAGTAAATCAAACAAATTTAATTAATTGTTCTCTACCATTTTGGGTGAACTTATCTTCTTCTTTTTGCCTTTGTAGGGATATCAAGCCAGACAACTTGCTGCTTGACAGATATGGGCATCTAAGACTTTCAGATTTTGGATTGTGTAAACCTTTGGACTGCAGTGCCATTGGAGAGAACGATTTTTCAAACAATTCCAATGGATCTACGGAGCAAGAGGCTGGATCAACTGCTCCAAAACGCACACAGCAGGAACAACTTGAACATTGGCAGAGGAACAGAAGAACGCTAGTAAGGCTTCATATTCACCTTTGAGATTTTCGATAGAGTTTCTCCTTCTGTATGTGTCTTATTAATAGATGAAAACGTCAGGCTTATTCTACAGTTGGCACACCAGATTACATAGCTCCAGAAGTTCTGTTGAAGAAAGGCTATGGAATGGAGTGTGACTGGTAAGAACTTGTGACTCTTTTTTTGTTTGTGCTATAATCACAGACTATGAGCATACATACTCCATCATATTTTGATGTGTTTAGCCAATTTGAAAAGGAAGAAAGTTAGTACATTGCGGTGTTGTGCACCTTTTGCATGATTTTTCAGACTCAAACGCAGTCAATAATGTGTTTGTTTGGTGATCCTGAACTGGATCTTGTTAGGAAATGCTAACCAATCCTTGTTTATTATCTCTAGCTGCTTTTGTCTATTAGCTACCACTGGCCTCAAGCCCATACTCACATTTGAATAAGTATATACATTTTTATGGGTTTTAGCGACTACTCTTATGATGCATTACTTAGTGAAAGGGACCATCTTGAAGCAGTATTTTGTGACGCTGTCTACATTTGCGCTTTTCATAGGACGCTAATGCAGTTTTCTCAATGAAATGCTCTGTAGGTGGTCTCTTGGAGCAATCATGTACGAAATGCTAGTAGGATATCCACCGTTTTATTCAGATGATCCTATGTCAACCTGTAGAAAGGTAATTGTCGGAAAACAAATCTACAAGGAAACCAAAGAAAAACAGTCACATAAATGACACTTTTTACCTTCCAGTGACACTGACATCACATTCAAACTCTTGTTCCCGATTTTGGTTGCAGATAGTAAACTGGAAAAGTCATTTGAAGTTTCCAGAGGAAGCAATATTGTCAAGGGAAGCAAAGGATCTTATTAACAGTCTGTTGTGCAGTGTCAGACGTAGGCTTGGTTCCAAAGGTGCTGATGAAATAAAGGTGTCCTTGTACTGATTTCTTTAAAAGCTTTTGTTTTTGGATGCATGAATAATAGTTTCTCATATTCGCAACTAAGTGACTGCGTCTTTGAATGTAGTTTGATTATAGATATGATATCAGAGTTCAATATATATAATCCAAATCCTGTGAAAATTAAAATGCATGATTTGTTTTCTGCATCTGCAGGCTCACCCATGGTTTGAAACTGTCGATTGGGATACAATATTCGATATGGATGCAGCTTTTGTTCCAGAGGTCAATGACGATTTAGACACTCAGAATTTTGAGAAGTTTGACGAGGTAACAAATCTTTTATCCCATCATATTTCTTTTGGATTTGATGGAAGCATAACAAGATCGATTCCTATACAGAATAAAGTTGCAGATTGATTAATTCTTTGTTTTATTTGGAAATGCAGTCTGAATCGCAAACTCAGACATCATCCAAGTCTGGCCCATGGAGGAAGGCAAAACCATATTCCCTATCTCTGAACAAAAATGCTTGCAGAGATTCAAAACTGCTTTCTTCTTACATTCCTTTTATGTTTATAATGGTTTCCGCTTTTACTTCTGCAGATGTTGTCGTCAAAAGACATAAACTTCGTAGGGTATACGTACAAGAACTTTGAGATTGTTAATGATTACCAAGTTCCTGGAATGGGTACACACTAGATCACTGGTTCTTGTATTTGATTGCAATTAGTTTGAATGTTAATTTTAGTGATGTTTTGTAGCGGAGTTGAAGAAGAAGAAAAAGTCGACGCGACCAATGGTCAAGTCACTCTTCGGTACGCAACAACCTCTTTTGCTGGTCCAACATTTGGCTATTTCCATGTGAATTTGAATGTGTTTTTAATTGGTTTTGTGTGTGTTTTGAACTGTTCCCATAGATAATGGATCATCGGAGACCTCAGATTCATCAGAAACAACTTCGAGACCGCCTTGTGATCGACCTCCTCCTGCTCCTCCGGTTGTTCAGGGAAGCTTTCTGAAACTTCTACCACCAGAACTTGAAGTGAGACCAAAGCAAGAAGGATCTGAAGCTTGCTAAAACAGAGAAGAGAGGTTTTTATTTGTCAAAGGTTGGAGTTGAGTTGTGTCTCAATGTTTTAGGCGGTAGCAAACCGACCACTCCTGTTATATCTTTGGACAAGACGCAGTTTGGTTCTTAATTGACATAAAAATACATGTATTGATATATAATCTTGTTTATAATTTTGCTTGCAAATAAGAAAATTCGCGTTGAAGATAAAACTAAAAACATATTTATTTTGTATATACTACATGAAAACATATTTCAACTCCTATATATGTTTCAATTACTATTTTTTTTTTACTTTTAATTTCCTATAACCTTAAATGATGTTGCAAAGACAATATCAACTAACCGTCTTGTTATTGCTCTGCCAATTGTCTGAAGAAGATATACTATAGCTTTGCAAAAAAAAAAAGTCTTGTCAAAATAACGGCAAAAATCTACCAAAACTCTGGTAAAGTCTACCAAATCTATTGTAAAATTTGAGCAAGGCTCTACCCTAATAAAACAATAACAGATGAAACGATATTTTGTTGTGAAGCAAAGGACTATTAATTAATAATTTAATACATACCAATAATTTTGAATATTTACAACCATCATAACTTTTAGATGTAATAATATTTCGAAAACTGAACTAAATATGCTGAAAATACATATTTAATTATGTACAAAAATAATAATATTACTTGACCAATGTTGAAATATAATAAAGTGAGAAAATAAATTTCAATGTACAATATATCTATATATAGGGCAATGAATTAATAGATTGTCTTTGACCAGGAAAAGAAAAAACCTAACATATTTTGTTGTGAAGCAGAAGATTATTAATTAATACCAAAATTTTTGAATATTTACAACCATAAGAAATATTTAGATATTATATTTCAAAAACTTAACTAAATATGCTAAAAATACACACTTAGTTATGTATAGAAGAATAATGTTACTTGACCAATGTTGAAACTTAATAAGGCAAGAAAATAATTTTCAATGTACAATAAATTAAAAAAATGTATTTAGTTTGCATCATTGACAAGGGAAAAATACATTTAACATATATTTGTGTTCTTAATTATATATAAAGATATATAATTAGTCTTGGTAAGAAAAAAAACTCATTAAAAAAAAAGTTTGGGAGAATATCATTAAAATGGGATTTTCCCCCAAAACTTTAGTGGCATTTTGTTTTACTGTCCTCTTCATCATATCTTTTGTTCATTGTCTTCCTATGACTCCTGATGGAAGTCCGGGTAATTGTTTATTGTTATTTATACCTTCACTTTTGTAATTATGAATTACATGATGATTTAACTCATTGATTAATTATTGTTAATCATGTATATGTAGGTAATGGAAGAAAGCTAATTCCTCGTCCGGAATGGAGATGCTACGAGGATGATGGGTGTCGTAAGGGACAAGTAGCAGGCTGCGATCGTTATTGTAAAGGAATAAGCATTACTTACGGCATTTGTATTGGAGTCAGATGTTGTTGTTTTGAAGTTACACCTATTCCTCCTCCTACCTAACTAGTACGGCTATATATATTATATAAGATGAAACTATCTAATCAAATGTATTGGTATCTGCTCAATAAATAAATCAATAATTTTAAGATACTGAAGATTTAGAGCTGAGTACATAAATTGTACCAAATCGAAGTTAGCTTGATTTTCAAAAGGATAGATTTGAATTAACAACAACCAAGTCCAAAAAATGCAAAAGGAAGCAAAAAGAACATATTTGCCAAAAAAGATTGACTCGAGGAGTGTCCGAGCTAGTGTGCGTGCAGTTTTGAATGCTTGCTACATATTTACATGTAATATTGCGTGTTGTTGGTGATATATGTTAGGGGCTTTAAACAAATTAAGGGTTCTGATGGGCTATGTGAATTTGGTGATGTGAGAGACCTGAGCTTACGGTGGAGATGCATAAATTAAAAAAGTTTTCATGTATAGGATTACATGCATGCAGAAAGACAAGAGTCTCCCCCCAGAAGAAAGTTAGTACATTGTCTTGGTCTTGTGCATGATTTTTCAGACTCAAACGCAGTGAAGAATGTGTTTGTTTGGTGATCATGACCTGAATCTTGTTAGGACATGATAACGAATCCTTGTTTATTATCTAGCTGCTTTTGTCTCTTAGCTACCATTGGCCTCAAGCCCATACTCACATTTGAATGAGTATACATCTTGATGTAGTTTAGGTACTACTCTTATGATACATTTACTTAGTTAAAGGGACCATCTTGAAGCAGTATACTGTCTACATATACACACTTTGCATAGGGCACTAATGCAGTTTGCTCAAATGAAATGCTCTGTATATATAAAAAAATTATATAATTTTGCTTGCCAAAATAAAATTCGCGTATTTCGATTCATGTACAGGGGATATAGGTCAAAACTATGTGATGAGTTTTACATCTTATATTTGCAGTCCTCAGGGAAAAGAAAGACCATACAGAATGAAAGAAAACGATGGTAGAGCATCTTACAATTGCATCCAATAGCTTACTTACAGCAAGTTAATGCTAGGATATGTCTTTCCTTTGATCATTTTGGAAAACTAACAGCAATTTTTTGTGGTAATTATATATGTGTTAATAACTTAATATAATCCTTTAATTTTGTTTCACTTCTTTTTCCATGTGAGAGTCTTTTTCAACAGATGGAACGTGTGGGCTTTCAAAAGTTATTTCCTAATGTGTTTAGAACAACAGAAACTACATGTGTTTAAAGGCAATTCCAAAGATATCATAAAAACATAAAATATCAGTTCACATAAACGAAGGGGTCTTCTACCCAATCAAGCATATCCAACAAAAGGTGCAAACACAAAATATCCGATAGAAAAGCTAACACAACAAAAGACTTAAACGCCAAACCACCGATAAAATGTTACCAAAACAACTAAAGCCGCAAAATAGCAAAAAGAAAAGGGTAAAAAACATTACACTAACATACCACCAGCTCTTTCATCTACTTACCGGAAGAAGATCATGCCTTGTCTTGTTTGAATAACACAGCAGCTGCGTCGTTTATAAACCCAATCCTCATCATAACAAGCTCCACTTGCTTAGCCTGCAACTTCTTCAAAATAAATTCCAACTCTCTCTTCTCTGGTCCATCTTTGACCTTATCCCAATTTGCAATCCACTTTGCTTCATCCATTCCCAACATAGTCGGATTCTCAACCGAAATGAAAGAAACCAACTCTTGACCAAAAGACAAAGTGCTTATGACATGTTTCTTTGGATCTTCGTCTTCATCATCCTTCTTGATCTTTCCTCCAAGATGCTGTCCTTGGAGCATTGTCTTTGATTTCGAAGACAAAAACCCGTTACTTCCCCAAATCTTCCTAGATAAATCAAAACATCTCTGGTCAAAAGCTTTCGAAGAAAAAATCAGTTCTTCAGTCTTTCCCTTTTCAAGGGACTTGAGAATCTTTTCATCAAATTTTCTCCTCAAATTCCGAATTTTGGTAACTAACTGATCTGTAGTAGCTTCAAAACTAATCGATTTTTTGACATCCTCATAGAAAGCATCACTAGGGTATTCACTCCTAGTATTGAAATCTATGATACTTTGAAGGATAACGATTTCATCCTCTTTGCTGAATTTCCTGACAAACAGATTTTGCTTTGGCTTTTCATCGTTCTTCACATCATCCTCGCTCATCTTCATTTTCTTCTTACTCCCTTCATCTGTTTTCTCGCTTACTCGCTTCGTCCCCACGTGACTTGGTTTGGTGGTCGTCTTAGAACCAGAAGGCTGGTTCACAACACTGGTAGGAACCACCAGCTATTAGAGTAGTAGATATATATGAAAATATTCCATATCTTCTTGTGTATATTTTAGAGAATATCTTCTAGAATTCTCTAGAATATCTCCTTTGTAACCTATAAATATAGGACTCCTTATTCATGAATAATATACAATTTCACTAAACCTACATGGTATCAGAGCCATCCATCTAAACAAAAAAAAAACCTAATTTTTTTTTTTTCTTCTCTTTTCTTCTTCCTTACGCCGCTGCCGCCAAGACCTAGTGTCTCCTTCATACCGGCCGTTCTTCTTCTCCGATCATCATGAGTGAAGAAGTCTCCTCAACGTCATCAACGTCCCATAGAGTACCTATCTTTGATATTGATAGTACTTCCCCGACTCTTATCTCCATCAACATGTCAAACATCACAAAATTGACATCAATCAACTATCTCACATGGCGTCTCCAAATCAAAGCCCTCTTAGATGGTCATGAGCTGCAGGGTTTCATCAGTGAAACCGATCAGACTCCACCCTCTCACATCACCACAGGGACTGTCACAACTGTGAACCCCAAGTTTACTTGCTGGACAAGGCAGGATCGTCTTCTCTACAGTGCTATCATCGGCACACTCTCTCTTCAAGTACAGCCGTTGGTGGCTCGCACTACTACCACGCGTGAGATCTGGGCTTCCCTTGCCAAGACCTTTGGCAATCCATCCCGCGGACACATCAACCAACTTCGAGAACAACTCAAAGGTGTTTCTAAAGGGAACCAGTCCGTACAAGACTACATGAAGAACATTGTCACCAAAGCCGATCAGTTAGCGCTTCTTGGTTCACCAATGCCACACGAAGACTTACTAGACCATATCACGAGAGGCCTAGATGAAGACTATCGCCCGGTCGTGGAACTCGTCAATGGCAGAGACACACCAATTTCTATTGAGGAGTTACATGAGAAACTTCTAAACAGAGAAAATCATCTTCTCTATGCAGCTGCAACAACAACGACACCACCGGCGTCTGCAAACGTGGCACAACAAAAGTTCAACAACAACAACAACCATGGTAGAGGAAGAGGTGCTGGACGTGGCTCACAAGGTCGGGGATACCAAGGAAAGTGTCAAATTTGTGGCATCCATGGTCACAGTGCTCGCACCTGTCGACAACTCAACTCGCCACAATGGTCTCAACCATCGTCGTATTATCCGTCTCCGCCATCACAAAACACGTGGACTCCGTCACCACCGATGCCACCTCAACATTGGCAACCAAGAGCTCACTATACCGCTTCCACAAACTACTCCCAAGCCCCCTGGCTTTTAGATAGTGGAGCGACACACCACATTGCCACCGACATGAGTAATATGTCCATCACGGGATCGTACAATGGAGGTGACGAAGTAATTGTTGGTAATGGAGCAGGCTTACCAATCACCACTACGGGTTCTACTACTTTTCCTACAACTACAAAGAATTTATTACTTGACAATATTCTTTGTGTACCAAATATGAAAAAAAATCTTATTTCGGTGAATAAGCTATGTCGGTCTAATGGTGTTATGGTTCAAATGTGTCCTAATGATTTTCAGGTGAAGGATCTCAACACGGGGGCAACAATAATCAAAGGCAGAGCTAATGCAGGGTTGTATGAGTGGCCAACGATTTCTCCTGGATCTTCTTTTGCTTCAGCTTTTTCAATTTCAAAAACGTCTAATTCCGCTTGGCATGCCCGTCTTGGACATCCAGCAAATTCTATTATTCAGTTGATTTCTACTCGTTCTAGGATTCCTATGTCTTTCAAAACAATTTGCAATGCTTGTTCTATTAATAAGAGTCATAAACTACCGTTTTCTCAATCATCGCTCAAGTCTCATTCTCCACTTGATATTGTTTTTTCTGACGTATGGACTTCACCAATTTATTCGATTGATGGATATAAATATTATGTTATCTTTGTTGATCACTATACAAGATATACATGGCTTTATCCAATCAAACAAAAATCTCACGTTGCTACCATTTTTCCTATCTTCAGGGCATTGGTTGAGAATCGGTTCAAGACAAAGATCACCACGTTATACTCGGATAATGGTGGAGAATATATTGGCTTGCGGTCCTATCTTGCCAGTCATGGAATCTCTCATCTCACGTCACCACCACATACACCGGAACACAATGGCATTGCGGAGAGAAAACATAGACATGTTGTGGAGACGGGCTTATCGTTGCTATCTCACGCCAAATTACCACTTGAGTACTGGTCCTATTCGTTTGCTGCCGCGGTATTTCTTATCAACAGAATGCCTACACCGATTCTCTCCAATGTCTCACCATATGAAGCTCTATTTCATTCCGAACCAAACTACACAAGACTTCGTGTATTTGGTTGTCTTTGTTATCCATGGCTTCGCCCCTACTCACAACACAAGCTTTCTCCTCGTTCAGTTCCATGTATTTTTCTTGGATACTCTCTAACACAAAGTGCTTACATTTGTTATGATCTTTCATCGTCAAAATTTTTTGTGTCTCGACATGTAGAATTTTTTGAAGATGAATTTCCCTTTCCAAATTTCATAACTTCGTCTAACACTTCCCATGAGTCTTCTTCTTCTGTTTCCCATCCTGTGTCTACAGCTCGGGTCTATCGTGAGCCACTCATCACCAGCTCAGCCCCTAGTTTGGATCCTTCCCCAACGTTACCACCTTCCGAGACGACACATGACACCAATTCACCGGCTACTACGTCCGATCAAGAAACTGAGCAAGTCGAAGATCATGTTGTGGAAGACAACAATGTTGTTGAAGAACCGGATCCTCTCCCAGTTGTCCCGGCCAATGTTCATCCAATGGTGACAAGAGCCAAGAACAACATTCGGAAACCAAACCAAAAATATGTGAATAATGTCACACTTGCGGAGGTAGAACCGACTTCTCATGTTCAGGCCATGAAAGATGAAAGATGGAGAAATGCTATGGGAGCTGAATTTGACTCTATTGTTCGCAATGGTACGTTCACACTCGTAGACCCACGTCATGCATCTAATGTTGTTGGAAATCGATGGATCTTTGTTATCAAGAGGAAACCAGACGGGACAGTTGATAGATTCAAGGCGCGACTTGTTGCGAAAGGCTTTCATCAACGACCAGGCATAGACTTCCAGGAAACATTCAGTCCGGTTATCAAACATGTGACAATACGTGTAGTTCTTGGACTAGCAGCTCGAAAAAATTGGGTTTTACGACAACTCGACGTGAACAATGCATTCTTACAAGGGAATCTCAACGAAGAAGTATATATGAGTCAACCACCGGGTTTTATTGACAAAGACCGTCCACACTTTGTATGTCGTTTACACAAAGCGATATACGGATTAAAGCAGGCTCCGAGAGCATGGTATAATGCGTTGAGAGATTTTCTTCTAAGCAATGGCTTTGTTAATTCATTGGCGGATGCGTCGGTTTTCATTTTTCACAAGGGAGAAGTTCTCATATACATGCTAGTGTATGTTGATGATATTGTTCTTACGGGTAATAGTGCTAAAGCAATTGATGGCTTTATACAAGCTCTCTCCCATAGATTCTCGCTCAAGGACATGGGTGAGCTCTCATACTTTCTCGGTCTTGAAGTCACACGCACGTCTGCCGGCATACGTTTGAATCAACGGAAGTACACGACTGATATTCTCACCAAGTATAACATGCTTTATGCTAAACCAGTGCCTACTCCGATGACTTCTGCGACGAGTCTCACAGGTTCTGATGGGGTTAGTTTATCGGATCCGACCGAGTATCGTGCTGCTGTTGGGAGCTTACAATATCTTGCACTCACGAGACCTGACATTGGCTTTGCGGTTAATAGGCTATCTCAATTTATGCATAAACCTACAACAGTTCACTGGGACGCTGTCAAACGTGTGTTGCGGTACCTAGCTGGTACAGTAGATCATGGTCTATGGTTTTCTTCTCGTGCTTCCTTGGATCTTAAGGCTTACTCTGATGCAGATTGGGGCGGTGATAAAGATAACTATTCTTCCACGGGCGCATACGTTGTCTATCTAGGATCACATCCCATTTCTTGGTCTTCTAAGAAACAAAAAGGTGTCTCTCGATCATCAACCGAAGCGGAGTATAGGGCTGTTACGGAGGCTGCCTCTGAAGTCAAGTGGATTGTCTCGCTATTATCTGAACTTCGAGTTAGACTCCCGACGACTCCGATAGTTTTTTGTGACAACATTGGTGCTACGTACTTGTGCGCTAATCCCGTGTTTCACTCTCGGATGAAACATCTTGCATTGGATTATCATTTTGTTCGAGAACTCATTCAAGATGGAGTCATACAAGTAGTTCATGTTAACTCCATTGATCAACTAGCCGATGGTCTCACTAAACCACTTCCGCGGGCTCGATTTCAAGATCTTCGGGTCAAGATTGGAGTCACCAATGGTTCTCCATCTTGAGGGGGCATATTAGAGTAGTAGATATATATGAAAATATTCCATATCTTCTTGTGTATATTTTAGAGAATATCTTCTAGAATTCTCTAGAATATCTCCTTTGTAACCTATAAATATAGGACTCCTTATTCATGAATAATATACAATTTCACTAAACCTACACCAGCTTCTTGGAATGCGCTTCTTTCTTTGATACGAATCCATCCGAAGAGTCAGACTCTTCACCAGAAGAACCCGATCCTTTTTCAGTAGAACCAGAGTACTCTTCTTCTTCTTCAGATGCCGATGCCATCGGAGGACTCTCGAACTTTTCGGGCTGCTTGGGTGCCATTATTCAATTTACGAGATGCAAAAGACTCTTCTTCTCCTCTATCTTTGTTTGCTTTTTGAGGTTTATTATCAAGTTTGTTCGTAAAATGGAAGTGACGCTTAGGGTTCCAAGTCGTATTTTAATTCATGTAATTGGTTTAGTAGTATCCTCGTCACTTGGTCCAATTAGCCGTAATAATTTTAATTTTTTCTTGTAATTTGTATAAATCTAATCTTGGAAAACAGGAATATTAGACACAGAGGTTTATCTATAAATCCTGTCATTGTAATAAAAATATTCATATTAAAATATATGAGATATTCCACCCACTTTTCTATTTTATTTTTATGATGAAATATATGAAAATATATTAATTCAAAACTTATATATATATATATATCAATTAGGTTGTGTCTGGATATATATATATATCAATTAGGTTGTGTCTGGATCCTCTCACAGAAAGCCCTAGCGCGAGAAGAGAAGGGGAACTGATTGATCACTTGGGTAATCAATCAATGAAGGGAAGATGTGTGATTCGGGGATGTAGTAGTCAATTGGAATTGAAGAGGAAGAAGAATGAGACGGAGGTGGGTGGGTTATGGTCGGTGCCAGATGATGTGTTTGTGTACTGCCTGGCTCCTAAGTTGTCGAGATTGGACCTCGTGGCCTTATCGATGGTCTCCAGGAGTTACCGGTTTGTCGCAGTGCTCCATGAAATCAGGGCCTTGAGGTCTCTGAGGAGCGTCGATTTATATATGTACGTATCCAGATCCAAGCCCACGGTGGTTCGTCCTCCACCCCGTGCAACGTCGGCTGAAACCGGTCAATTTGAACTTGTATCCGGCCCCGGTCCCGGTAGCAGGATCCTGTTTCGTGGAGACGGGTTGGGGAATCTATATCATCGGTGGACTCGTGAACGGCAAACCCACATCGGAAGTCACGTTTTTCGATTGTACTGATCACGAAGTGTGCCGCGTTACGCCCATGAAGATAGCTCGAAGCGGAGCATCGGCATGCTTGATAGACAGGCAGAAGATATACGTGTTTGGAGGGTGCTGGGATGATGTCGCCGCTGATTCCTCAAACTGGGTAGAGGTATATGATATCGAAACCGGAACTTGGGAGTTGTTGTCTGTGTTTACGGTGCTGTCCTCTCAGACTCATCATATACTGGCCTTAGCTTGTTATTTGCTGGTTCTTTCTATGCCTGAATATTCTCATTCCTTGTGCTCAGACTCATCATCATCATCATCATCATCATCATCATCATCATCATCATCATCATCATGGTTGCTTTTGTTACAAGCATATCTCTATCCTCTTTTCATGGGTTTCTTGTTTCAGTTGCTTCCTTCTATACCAAAAAAAATTAGTGACTTTATAATTGAGTTGATACGTAATATGGGCTTATACTGGCATTATCTAGTTCTGGCACTTACTGGTGAAGCATGAAATAACTCCCACTCTTAGATTTAGTAATTATATACCCTGGATTATTAATTTTTTAAATATCAATGTTGACGTGATTTTTTTTATCTTGTTACGTAATATAATTAGTACAGAGAACTACTTATAGCAAGATCACGTAAAGAATACTATGGATTGGTCTGCATTTACAATTTGGCCTCCAAACTAAGCAAATGTCCAAATTCGGCCGCTAGGATTCTATTTAGTCTACAAGATCATTTGTAAGATTTTTTGAAGATATGAGAACTAACACTACATCTACTAAAGATACTCGAAGTATGTTTCAATTCCTAGGTTGTTTAACAATAATACAATATGACCAGGCCAATCATATCAAGACTTTAGGAAGAAAAACTAAAAAAAAAAAAAATCCCCTATAGCCAAATACTCACTAGATAGTAGCTAACAATCAGCAAAATTGATATCATAATTTGCACTAAAAACAAGTTCCAAAATAAGAATTGGTAATGATAACGATTATAATAATTAAGAAATCAAGCAGCGGTCTCCCTTTTTAGCTTAGCAAGCTCCTGCCTCACAACACCAGCCCTCTGCAAAACAATATTCATATATTAGAGGTTACTAAATAACATTAAGATGTGTCTTAATACAATCCAAAACAAACCAATATCAAACCAAGATCATATAAACACTATACCCCAAACTAAAACTAAACAAGCCTAAACCCAAGAAGATTATAAATGTAGTATTCTTTCTAAACTCAACTAGCAACAGAAACCAAAACCCCAGTAGAAACTCATCTGTATGTGCACAAAGTAGAGTTGACTAACAAATCATGGATGGATGCAAATGAAACTAAAAAGAATCTACAAAGAGATAAACCAACCTTGATTTTGGCCAACATGATCTTGAACCTGTCAAAATCATTGAGTGCAGCTCTTCTCTTCTGCACAATAAGTTTCCTACCCCATGAACTCTTCTCCCACTTGTTCTTCACATCTGCATATAACTTTAGAGCTCAGATAACACAAGACAATAAAACCTCAGAAATTGAAGTATTGTTACAACAACACTCACCAGCCTTCTCCATTGCCTCAACCAAATGCTTCTTCTTGGGCACTCTGTTGATATCAATCACAATGTCAGTAAGAGACAATCTCTTCAAATTCATCTGGATTCTCTCCATGTCAGGGGCATCCACAAGTGCCTAATAACAACCAAGATAAACAGAAACACTTAGACAAGACAGAAACCATTTCAAAGACTCCTAGCTTCAGCCACAAATCACAAATATTAAACTAAACATACAAATTCTATTCCTAGCATCATCATAACTATTGTAACAACGTATATTCCAAACAAAAAAAGAGAGCTTGCATATGAAGTTACCCTGTTTTGGTCGACTACATCGACGATAACCACAAGCTTTCCGTAATCTTCGCCGTAGTTAACGAGCGCCACTCCCCCAATCTCCACGAATCTCTTAAAACCCTTCACAATCAAACACAAAGTCCTCGAGGTTAAACCTATATAAATCTGCCACTAGGAAGATAACAAATTCCAAAGAGAAGCTACGACAAAACCTAAAATCAAGTGTTTTCAACAAAACAAGACCACTAATATTCATGGATACAATTCGAAGAACATCTCTCACCATTTTCGCCGGCTGAGAGAAGCTGTTCGAAGTAATTGAGCGGCGAAGAAATTCTTTATGTGCCGAAGAAGAGAGTATTAGGGTTTTTGATAAAAACTAGTTACGTAAGCATATAGAAGCCCACTAACAATTAAAAAGGCCCATTATATGTAAAGTGATTGCACGACGTCGTTTAAGAAGATCGAAACCGATCGGTTTAATGTTTGAAATCGAAATCGAATCGGAGCTGATAAATTCGGGTTGGTTCGGTTAAAAAGGCAAGAGTCCTCCTAGAAATAGAAAGATGAAAAATGGAAGAAGAAGAAGAAGAAGACGGGCATGTCTCTGAAGATCGTCGAGAGTCCGGCTGTTTAGGATCTCAATCTGTATGTGTTTGGTTTTATTATGTTGATAATTTCAAATTGTTGAGTCTAATCGGATTCTGGATTATTATCCAAATGATAATGATGATGTTCTGATGCTGATTGATTATTGAGCCATGGGAGCTTCGTCATTGCAAAGTTTTCGTCTTTTCTCCATTCTGATTTTGGGTTTCATTTATTGTATAGTGGTTTGATGAATTCATGAATGATTTATGTGGGAGATGGATGATTGCCTATAAAACTATAAGTTTGGTTTGAACAAGAAGAAGAAGAAGAAGGTTGAATGTTTTGCTGCGGATTTATGTGGAAATCCGGAGGAGAAGATTTGCAAGGTTTCTATCCAGTTAGACCTGAATGTCAACCAGATGTTCCAAGGACCCGTTTTAAATCAAGGGTTCGTGTTTTTTTTCTTTCACAATTCTTCTTCTCAATCACCTGTTCATTTCTTGAGGAACTGATGATACATTAGGGTCTTATTATCATATCTCAAAGATAGCTCTTGTTTGTTTGTTTGTAGCTGATGAAATGATTCATCTTGATATGTAATTTGCAGGCTGGAAAGACTCTAAGTGCTAGAAGATGGCACGCTGCGTTTACTGAAGATGGCCATTTGGATATGGAAAAAGTGCTTAGACGTATACAGCGCGGAGTGAGTCTACTTTGTTGTCCTGATCTTGTTTCTATCTATATGCCCTTTTTGTTGTTGTTGTTGTTCACTTGGTTTCTTTGTTAGGGAATTCATCCCTCGATCAAGGGCGCTGTTTGGGAGTTTTTGTTAGGGTGCTACGATCCTGACAGCACTTTTGAGGAAAGGAACAGGCTGAGGAATCGCAGAAGGTACTATGGAATTGGTTGATCATGTATGTTCAATCATTAAGTAGTTTTTAGATGCCATCACGTCATGGCTAACTTTAAATGTATTGATCATCTAAGGGAGCAGTACGGTGTATGGAAAGAAGAATGTAAGAAAATGGTTCCTGTCATTGGTAGTGGCAAGTACGTCACAATGGCAGTGGTTCAAGAAAATGGGAACCCAATAGACGAATCTTCTGTAGAAAATCAAGGATGGATCGTGAAAAATGTCGTTACAGATGAGAGAGTGCTACAATGGATGCTCTCACTACACCAGATCGGTATGCCATTACATATATAAGTTTAGTCATATCTGATTGTCTTCTTATAACCTCATTTTACATATTCTTGTACACCTAATATGGTGAAATTTTGTTTCAGGCCTTGATGTTGCTAGAACAGATCGGTATCTCTGCTTTTATGAGAATGATCGTAATCAATCAAAACTATGGGACGTTCTTGCCATATATACATGGTTGAATCTTGATATTGGTTATGTTCAGGGTATGTGTACTTGCTGTTAACGATTAATCTTTTGAAAACAAATAAGAAACAGAACTGATCCACTTTGTCTACTCATGTAGGAATGAATGATATATGTTCCCCAATGATAATCCTCTTTGATGATGAAGCCGACGCTTTCTGGTGCTTTGAGCGTGCAATGCGAAGACTAGTAATAACTAATAACCGATGACATAACTTCTCATGTTTTATGTCATTACCAGACTGTTGTATTCACGGTTTATTGTTTTTCTTGAATTTCAGAGGGAAAATTTCAGGGCAACAGCAACATCAATGGGTGTCCAGACTCAGCTGGGTGTGCTCTCACAGGTCATTAAGACCGTGGATCCTCGTCTCCATCAACATCTAGGTAAGAGTGTTTTGCTATTACGAACACTCTTCTTGTTGGTGTGCTAAAACGTGTTAATGTGACAGAGGATCTCGATGGTGGGGAGTATCTGTTTGCTATTCGGATGCTGATGGTACTTTTCAGGAGAGAATTCTCCTTCCTTGACGCTTTGTACCTTTGGGAGGTAATGACACTGCCTGTTCATATTCAAACTTTCTGCATTTTTTTTCTTGGTTCCTGGTTTTACTTGCTGTGATTGTTTACGAAGCCGGAAGATCTTGCTGTGTGTTTATTATCTTCTTTCTTTTTTTGCGTTTTCTGCTGTTTGGGTAATGAGAATAATGTGAGTTGGATTATGGTTGCAGCTGATGTGGGCGATGGAGTACAATCCAACCATGTTTGCAACATACGAGGAACTAGAAAACCGAAACAACGCAGCATCCGATCCCAAGTTACTAAAACGGTATGGCAAGTTTGAAAGGAAATACATAAACAGTGGGCAGAACGAGCAACATCGCAATACGCTTGCTGTCTTTGTGGTTGCAAGCGTTCTACAGACAAAGAACAAACGTCTCTTGAAGGAGGCTAAAGGCTTAGACGATGTTGTTCAGGTCTGTTTCTATATCTTTTCACTCGTTTCTCTCAAAGCCAAAAAGAAAAAAACAAACTCTGGAACTTCAAAGTTTAAGTTGGTTTGCAGATACTAGGAGACATTGCGGGTAATCTTGACGCGAAAAAAGCATGTAAAGAAGCGTTGAAGATCCATGAAAAATTCCTGAAAAAGGTTTCTTTCACTCACTATAGCTTGGGGAAGATAATGATATACAGTTATACTAATGCAGATGTTATTGTGTGTTTCTTGCAGGCTAATAGTAATAAGCAATAAAGATTTGCTCAAAACCTCTACTCGACGACTTTATATATCAAACATATACTAATACAGTTTTTGATCAGAGGATTGTTCATCGCCGGCCAGAAATTTCTTGGAAGGAGATTGATGAGAATGCTCTGATGATTAATTTTCTTTTTTTCAATTTGTTCATTTTCTCATGGTTTATGTATTTTGTGGTAAACTGTGTGCCGTTTTTCAGTTATACGAATGAACTACGTACGGTCCACTAACCTCCTTACATTATTTGACTCTTGTGATATTTCTTTTCCACATTTTTCTGTTTTGCATGAATGTATAATTTTTAAGAAAATTCGTTAAATGTATATAATGATTATTTTTAATTAAGTAAACATTAATCTGTTTATTTGGTAATAGCAAATGACAAAGAGACATACAAAAATTGAGATGATATTTTCGTAAATAAAAATTGTGTTAAAGCATATATAATTCACACATTTAGTTTATGTGATATAGAGACATAGATGTCTATAACTCTATATGACTATATACGAGAATAAAAGAAAATTCATGTTTTTGTAGAGTTCAATATTGGCAAGGACCAAACTATTAAAATAGTATGTTTTAACCCATATTTTGGCATTGCAAAATCTCTCATTGCCATTTTCTTAATTAATTTAAGAGTTTAATTAAGACATGCATTCTCTACATACATTGAAGTTTATTGAGATAAAAAAAAATTAGACAAAAAAAGACAAAATAAAATTAATGTTAATGATTATTCATTTGATGGAACAGAAAAACGTAATTTCTATATACTAATTCTAAATTTTGATTGATTTCTGATAGTAATAGATAAACAAATTGTAACCATCAGATTAACGAAAATTTTGGTTTAAACAAACATTTTTGCACTCTTCTTTTTTTGCAATATCACCTTTATACGCTCTCCACCCATCATTCAAACAAACATTTTCTTAGTTTCCTTCATTTTTTGTTTCTTAGTTTCTTCGTTTGATGCTTTTTTTTTCCTCCTGAAGTCTGAGGGTTTTGTAGGTAATTTTTAAAAGAATTTTGTTTATGTATATATCCTTAAACTTTTTCTTAGGTTATCAATTTGTTCTTTTTGATATATAGAAGAATCTGCAAAAAGATAAACCTACAATTTTCTGAGATGAATTCTTGTTTCTCTCTGAACGATATTTTGGAGTCTTGATGAGCTTTTTTTTATCTATCATTTTGTTTTCCTCAATTAATTTTTACTGTCACCAACTTCTTATTTTCTGGAAAAAGTGAGTTTTAGAAAATTAGTTTTCCGGGATAAGAAAATCTTTTTGTTCTTGGATGGAATAATTAATCTTCCCTTTTTTGAATTAATTATAACAAAAAAAAAAAATCTATGCAACTCACAATGTCAAGCTCCAAGATGAAAAGCCTCTTGAAAGGGCTCCGATATATTTCTCAAGTATTTGGTAAGTTCACCCTATAGATCTCTTTTTTTCTTTTTGTTCTCATAATTTTTCTATATACAGTATGTTAAATTAGAAATTACATGATAAATCCTTTTTTTAATATATAAAAACTCGAACTTCATGATCAGTTTTGAATTACTATGATGCAAATCACGTAAAAAATTTGCATGCATGCATTGTAAGTATGTTTGTGTGGATTGAGGATGAATCTAAATGATTTATTATACTTTTTTTAATTAAAAATGATCGTAGAAAGTGAAAAAGAAGAAGAAATACAGATCGGAAATCCAACGGATGTAAAACATGTTGCCCATATCGGTTGGGATGGACCATCCGCTAATGCCACCGCACCAAGCTGGGTATGTTCTTACTCTTTTCTACTTCTTTGGTATTTCTTAAAAGGCGTAAACATAATCGCGATAAAATAGCAAAATTAAAGATTGTTTTATTATTATATATACGCATATTTGGATGGATGTGATCTCTAGATTAATATTTGAGTACTTTAATCTACGAGTTCATATATAGGAAGATAAATATTTGACCTAAAACGTTTTGAGAAAATGTCGAATTGATTTGGTTAATGTTATTGTGATTTGAAAGATGACTGAGTTTAACTCTGGCGGGGGATTCGAATCTGGTGAAGGAGGCGGAGAAGATGATTCCTCCATAAAATGTATGTCAGAATATGGTGGTCGGTCCAGAGATTTGCCAAATCTACCAAAATCTACGAGGAAATCGGCGTCGGAGAAAGGTTCTCCGACGAAAGAAAAATCATCAGACAAAACTAAACGCCGGTCTTCGAACAAAGGCACATCGTCATCGTCGAGGAGACCAAAGGAAGCCACTGAAGAACAAGACGAGTTATCTTCTTGGCCTCGTGGAATACCGGAAGTTCCAAAGAAATCAAGGAGGAAGAAGAAGTCGACAAAAGAAACCGCGGTTAATGGAGGGTCATCAAGATCGACAAGAAGATCTGATGTGGATAATATGTCGGAATTTATGTCTGAGACTGGTTCGGTGAGATCTATGCCTCAATTCGACAATAGAGATGATTTTTGAAAGGAGAGACGTACGTCGTATATAGAGATTTTGCTGCTCCAAATTTTCATTGAACACACGAATTGTTAGATTTTCTTGTTCATTCTTGTACTAGCTATGATTAACTATGCAAGGAGAATTTAGACAAATATATTTTACAGCTTTTTTGGTACATAGATCATTGACATCATATATACGAGAGAGAACATTTTGTAGCATTATTGAATTTGATTTTCAATTATAGAAGCCGGGGACAAAAGAATTACGTATATAATTATTTAACAAACTAAACTCATCGTCGTTTTAAAAGCCGGTTGACCTAATAACCTAAAAGACTCCGGTTTACCCCTTGAGGTAAAGCAAGTAAGCAACCCAGTTCTGAAGTTCATCGCGGATGACACAGCCGACAACCCCGACACATCCTATTTCCTATACCCAGGGCCGGTCCTAGCCTGTAGGTGGCCTAAAGCATATTTTAAAAATGTGGCCTTCTTATATAAATAACTAACGATAAAATTTAATATTAAACCACTGGAAAAAATGTTAAAAATCATTAAATATAGTTGATGAAAAACGTTATTAAATATGTTAACAACGTAAAACATGAAAATAAAGCTAATTAACTAAGCGTAAGCCAAAAGTCGAACCGACGCCACGAATGTGGTGGCTCACACACGCTGGTCGGAGACAAAAACGTTAATTAAGCGGCAGATTTGTCTAGAAGAAAAGAGAAGGGAGAGCGATTTTCTAAGAGATAGAAAAAATTGAAGTGAACCACCGAATTATTCCAAATTTATTGTTATGATTTTAGGTTTGTTTATAAAGGTGTATGACTTTATCAAGCAAACAAAATGTATAGATAAAGTAAAGGAAACTACTATGAAGAGAAGAAGAATAAAAAGATAATTATGGAAAAAAGAAATACAGGAAAGTGAAAAAATATTAACCAAAAAAAGAATAGAAGCGTGAGAAACTGAGAGTTGACTCGAACCCTGAAACCTCACACAATATGCAGACCTACATAACCACTTTACCAACCTAACACTATCGTAACTGTGGCCCTCAAATTTTATTTATATTGTGTGGCCTAAAGCAAATGCTTTGCTTGCTTTATAGACGGGCCGGGCCTGCCTATACCAACAAAACCATATAAAATATGGTCCATTTTTTGCCAATTTATCTTTGTAGTTTTGTTTTGTTTAGAATTGGAAATGATCCATTATCTTTGCTATGGTTAGTTGAATATTAGTGAAATCCACATTCCAAAACATAAACTCCATCATAAGCCCGCAAGGTGGTGGGCGAGTGGTAGGGCGAGTCCGGAGTTGAGGGTGAAATCCCCGAACGTTCGATCTTCCTCCCTCGCTGTTATCAACACTTTGTTGGGAAGTCTGGGCTTGGGCTTCGGCCCAGGCAGTTTACCTGGTAGTCTGGTAACAGGCGATCCAGCTACCCCCGGGCATTAGTCGGAAAGCATTCCAAACTCGGTTCAGGCAGTGTGGTAGCCCATCCTTCGGGGTGGTAGTGAGTCCACTCTGTAGCACTCCGGTGCGTTCCTACCGAGGCTAATCGGATCAGCCGATCGGGTATATCAAAAAAAAATTAAAAAAAAAATAAAAAAAATAAACTCCATCATAACCTTGTTTATGTTTCTTTGGATTAGATAGTCCCGTTTTCACCAGTGTTCATTATATTGTAACCTTGTTTTTTATTCTCTTTTTTGCCAAGGTTACTCTTCTTTTAGGCATTGCTATTTGTAATACTAAACTTTCATTTTATATGATATTTACAAGCTTAGCAAAAAAAAAAAAAAAAAAAAAAAAACTCCATCATAACATATATAGATCATTGACATTAATACAAGAGAACTTATAGCAATATTCCTAAACCTTGTAACCGTTAAATAGGAAACAGAGGGAAAGCTCTGTCTTGTGAAAGACTTTTGTTGTTTCAGTGACACATATTATGTGGCTTCCCACAAAATCGATTTTTATTCATGATAGGTACAGTACGTATGAGAAAAACTTGAACCCCTTAGTATCAAGTATCAACCATATGAGTTGGTTAAATACAAAAAAAGATATCGAGAATTCCGATTTAAATCTCATTGGATGGATCACACAAAAAAGGAGACCAGTTCATTATTGATCTGTTTGAGGAAATGATATCCGCAAGAAAGTGTAAATTGCGCGCTGTCAACCACAAAACAATTAACAAACCGGCTTTTGGTATATAAAGAGAGATTAGTTAGCTAATGCTTTCACCGCTTTCTCAGCTGCATCATCCAAATCATCAGCCGTTATGAGTTTCATTCCACTTTCCTTGAGGATTCTCTTTCCCTGCTCAACATTCGTTCCTTCCAAACGAACCACCACTGGCACTTTCAATGAGACCTGTCATCGCCATTCCATACAAACACTCGGATTTATTTTCAATCATGATTATATGAAATATTACGGTAACAAGGTTGTTTCTCACTCACCTCTTTTGCAGCGTTCACGATTCCACTAGCAATCACATCACATTTCATTATCCCACCAAATATATTCACCAAGATAGCTTTCACTTTATCGTCAGATGTCAGAATCTTAAACGCTTCCACCACCTTATTTTTGTCACAAACCCCTTTTAAAATTGGTTTTCAATCCACAAAGAATTATGATTCCCCAAAGTGAAGAAGGAAGTTTTTTTTTTTTACCTGGTGCTCAGAAGCATTTCCACCAACGTCAAGGAAATTGGCGGGAGTTCCACCATGTAATTTAATGATGTCCATGGTTGCCATGGCCAATCCAGCTCCATTCACCATGCAACCAATCTCTCCATCCAAACCGATGTAGTTCAGGTCAACTTTCGCAGCAGCCACCTATGAGAAGCAACACACACTTTTCCTTTTATTATCCTATCTACATAACATAACATAGATTTCTTGATGATACAAGAGATAGACAGAGACCTCTCGTGGATCCTCCTGTGTTGGATCACGCATGGCAAAAATCTCTTTTTGTCGGAACGCAGCATTATCATCGAAGTTCAATTTGGCATCAGCTGCTACCAATTGATTAGTGGATGTCTCCGCAAGGGGGTTGATCTACAAGAGAAATTTTGGAGGTTCAACAAAAGATATTGATAACTGAAAAAAGTGTAGAAACAAGCCAGTGAGAGAGAACTCACTTCCAACATTGTGCAGTCAGTCTTGCGGAAGAGTTCATATAGCTTCTTCACTTGTTCAATCGAATCTTTTCTGTCAGCAGCTTTGGGAGCCAGACCATCCACAACCTTAGCAGCATCTTCATCAGTGATTCCTGCAAATACATCAATTGGTACCTACGCAAAACCATGAATTGAGGGGTCAAAAACCCGCATGAGAAAGAATCTCAGAATGATATTTACTAGAGATTAGAGCACCAAATACGAATAAAACAGTAACAACCTTGATGATCATGTCAGGGAACTTCTCAGCAAGATCTTCAATACTGGTACCACCCTTTTTACAGGCAATGATCAACTGAAATAGGAAAGGAAAACGTTTTCGATATTGCTGACAGGGAGTGAGAACCGCATGCCTAGAAGCAGAGAAATTCATCATTTGCATAGTAGCATACCGGTCCAGCAGATTTACGGTCCAGAATTATGGAAAAGTACATCTCATTGACGAGTGACAATTTCTCACACAAGTAAACCTGCTCAAAATTAAGATACATTGAATAAATAAAGGTGTAAGAGCAGTCACAAGAATTGAAGAAAAAACACCAATCATGAGCTTCATAAATAACAAATAACAAACCTTGCTAACTACTTTGCCTTGAGGACCAGTTTGCTTGGTGACAAGTACTTGTCCTAGCATCTTTCCTACAAGTGATAAAACTTAGAAATTGATCAATAACTTGTACGACAACAAAAAAAAGAATTCAGAAGGCCACAAACAAGAAATCATGTACAATACCAGCAATATCTTCAGCCTGACCACGTTTAACAATGTGAACACCACCCTTAAGACCACTCTTGAATGTTCCAAGACCTCTTCCACCAGCCAAAATCTGGCTCTTAACAACCAACTGTATCACAAGAAAAGGACACTCTTTCAATTAGACAACAACTAATAATAGAGCTAAGAATCAAGTCCCTCACAAATGTTGTCCAGATAACAATGCTTACCTCGCTTTCATTAGGGAAAACTTCTTGAATAGCCTTTTTAACTTCTTCCAACGAAGAAGCAGCAACTCCTTTTGGCACATTAACTCCATATTTCCCCATCAATTCAGCTCCCTGATTGTATCAGAAACCCAAACGATTCCATGTCAAATAGTGCTTACTTTCAAAATACAACTCCTAGAAAACCGCAATTCTATCAACCACAAATCAATCAGTGGATCAACCCCAAGAAACAACAGATCGTGCTCGAATTCTGACTTGAAAAGCGAATCTAGGCAACTGTGGAGATGGAAATGAAGAGAAGAAGAACCTGATACTCGTGGATGTTGAGGCGGCGAAGCTGTTGCTGCTGCCATTTCCCGGAGATGGAGAGAGATCTGGACACGAGCTTGTTCACCAATCCCCTCATCGTTTGATTTGTCTTCGAAAAGCAGCCAAAGAGAAGAATAAAGGAAAAATAGAGAGAGCAGAGAGCGAGAGAGAAGAATAGTCGCAGCTATGAATGATCGAGTCTAACCCTAATTTTTCCTAACTTTATGAATTTTCAATTTAACCCTCTCCCTCTATTCCTCTTCTATGTCGCCGGCTCATTTAATTCCAAAATATTTTGAGATTTTTCTCAAAAACTCTATAATTGAAAAATACAAAAGTGCCCATTTAAGTCACTAAAAAGCAAGAACTAGGCAATACAAATTTTTTTTTATAGTAACAGATTGTTTGATTTCAAGACGTTTTTACTTAACAAAATATGTCTTTCACATCACAATTGTAACACTTAAACAACAGCTATGGACATTGTTATGGCTGCCATGATGCCATCACACTGTTATTGGTGGCGGAGTGGTGGCTAAAAGTCATAACTCATAACATTTCACATATAAAAACACATTTAAACTTGACAAAAACTAATTTGATAGAGATAGACTCCTCCTCAAAACGGATCAATTGATAGCAACGTTCTTATCCCTAAGCACTGAGTCTTCATTCACCAGCCAAACCGCGTGAACCTCGTCTGTACGAAACCACTGCGTAAAGGTGGATTCTTGAATTGGCGTTTCAATACCTTTAACAAATCCGAGTAGACCCGCGTAAGCGATCATCGTTCCATTATCAATGCAGCATCGGTCATCTGTTGCAAACAACTTACCGTCACGTCCAGAGCATATAGTCCTCATCATCTCCTGCAAACGCTCATTGCAATTTGCAACCGACAGTACCAACTATCAGAACGTCTTTCTTGTCGCATTGCGCCATCGCTCTTTCCGTTATCTCAACCAACATCGCAAACACCGTCTCCTGAGAGATCAACACTCATATATATGTTCCTCTCTAAAATGTCCAAACGTTGCATTCTATGTAAATGAAAATTACTACTTATGTACCAGTGGTAGCCTTTACTTGAAGAGAATAGCACAAGTCAGCTGGTGTGCACTCGTTATTCTTGAGCTTCTCCTCTGCGGTAGTTTTGATATAACTCAAGATTCCGCTTAACGAAACATCCATACCTTTAACAGCATACAGAATATCGATAAAATTTCTCCTTTCTTAGCGAGCTAGTAAGAAAACAAACATCCAATAAATGTCACTAACATAACACCACAGGGGTCTTATTAAAATCTTGATAGATTCGGAATTACCTGCTCGATGTATATGTAATAGCCAAGACTTGGATCATTAGACAGCTTCAAGACTCTAACAAACCGGTCCAAGCAATTCCCAACAGCAATATCAATAGTCTCACCAAAAAATCCGGTAACAACTTTCCCCATCTCAATCTTTTTCTTCATTTCTCTGCACATTCAAGAGATGAACAAATCCCCAAAATCGAAGTTCTGACCTAAGATTTCATGTAAAACCTAAAACCCTGGAGAAGAAGCCTCAAAGAGCGATTGAACTAAATGAATTAAGGAAAAAAGTTGTTGTCATTGGAACATAAGCCCCGTTCAGTTAGTCCGAGGACCAAGTGAATAACTGTCGTGAAACGAACGGCCATGATATCATCGGCGGAGAGACCACAGAAGCTCCACACACGCGTCTCAGCTTTTAGGACCTCTCTACCGTATGATTCTCTCGTTACCGAGGCCGCATCTCTGCGGATAGTGGCCCGGGGACTTTCCTGGGTCGGAACTTAGGCAAGCCCATATGACCCATTCACTTTGTCCAATGACTGTTGTACACTGTGATGGTTCAGGACTTAATATATACTCAAGTGATATTTCTGGAACAACCGATGTGGGACAAACAACTCTAGCATAAGCCGATTTTTTTTTTTTTTTTCTACTACAGAATGTAAGGGAATATGTTTTTTTTTTTTTGAGCAAGAATGTAAGGGAATATGTTGGCTTGTTAATTTACAGTAAATTACTTATGCTTCTAGTTTAGCATTTTACATGAGTTGATATATGCAATCATAGAAAATGTGGTAATTTAGTAAAATTCTTACTAAACTTTGCTCTTTATTTTACGCTTATACATTTGTTTTGAATATTCTTATAGTCTTAGTCCACATGAATTTCTTTGAACAAGACAATAAAGATTCTCTCATATAAGTTAAATTGAAGTATAAAGAAACCTATAAACCAACTTATAGCGATGTCAAACTTTGAAATGAACATGTTTTAGAAAGAATGATACAAAATATGGTACAACCTTGTCACAGTAGATCAAGACGGTGGCTTCAAGTTCCTAATTGCAGCGGCCATAATCTGAAATAGTTCCACATGTTAAATAAAGTCAGACAACAAAGTCAACTATTATTGTTGTAATTATCTCTTAATGTAAGAAAATAAACGTACCCGGGCAGATCCAGGATCAAACCTTCTTTCACCAATACTTGTATTCCTGTCCTCTCTCTTTGTGACTACACTTCTTTGACTAGATTCTACTCTGCTGCTGCTGCTTTCACTACATACTTCTTCACCCATCTGTGTGCCTTTGTTCTTGCTTCTTGTTGTATAAGTACGGTCAGGCGTTCCACCAGAACCAAGAACCGGGTTATCGAGGGATTCTGATGCATCATCTTCAATACCTTTTCTCTTGCTTCTTGTTGTGTAATCAAATATATTATTTGTTTGGAGACTTTGTCCCTTCTTCGAAAATTGTGTCGCCGCTGCTTTTGCACCGGCAATTGCAGCTGTGAGACTGGTAACTTGCTCTGAATCAAGTGCTTTCTTCTCTTGTATTGTACAAGGAATAGAACCAGGTTTCAAAGAAAACGGGTCTTTTGGGTCTGGAAGAGGGAATTTCACCTTAAAAGAGTTTTGAGAAGGCATAAGACCTCTCGCTGCTGCTACATAAATCTGCTTCATTTCAAAATACAGTAAGTAACTGGTACTAACTTATACTACAACAAGAACCCACCAATTCCTAGGCTTTGAAGAACAGCAAGATTACCTTATTTTCTAAGTTATAGACGCCCTGGTACCCACGCATCTCAAATGGAATAATCAGTTTCTGGAAGAGTTCATAGAATCAAATGTTAAATAGTCAATCTAAAAAAAACAGTAAAAACCAAAAGATGAAGTGATTTGCACCTGTGGCTGCTCACATAGCCAACAAAAATTGGTTTGTCCTTCAAGCCTCACCTAATATATACCCAAAAAACAATTGGGGGTTTGCTTATTATACTAAAGAATCATCGATAGTGAGCTGTTTTCGATGTCAAAGAATAGAAAACAGCGATAACGAAGATCGAAAATAGTTGTACCCCTTGAGGTAAAGCATCCCAGTTCTGAAGTTCATCGGAGGTGACACAGCCAACAACCTCAACACATCCTATACCAACGAAACCGTATCAAATATGTTCCAAACAAATCATGTCTTACTTACACTATAACATGGAACTTGTGATTCAAATATGCAAATAAGTAACAATACCAATTAGTCTTGAAACAGGATAATGTTGGGGGAATTGAATATCAGTGATGCCATCAACAGCATAAATTTCTTGGTAAAACTCTTCCATTGCTTTAATAGTAGCTTCATCAGGTACTTTACTAGCAGCATGAATCCATAAACGACCTATTACATGTTTAAAACAACATCATCTTCTTCAAAAGTTATGCAATTATCACAATGTCCCAATTCAAATTAAGCCAAAATCCCAGAGTTCAAAATTAGGGTTTTATACCTCGAATTGGGGAAGGCCAGGATCTGCCTTCGATGCGTTTGATACCATGGACGAGAAGTGAAGCCCATGGCTGATGCATGGTCAAGCACGGGTTCTTGTAATTCCCACGACTCATCACTCTTTCTCTTCCAAAATCTAATTATCAAAACATTCACTAAATCTAATCAAATCTAGATCCACCAATCACCAAAGATATCTCCAATTACGCTCAAACCCTAGAGATGAACAATTCCAAAAATCGAAATTTTCTCACCTACAAATTTTGTCGAGATGGTAGGTTAATTAGTGTTTTAGCTCCGACGAATAATTATCACTTTTGTTAACTAGGTTAATGAGGTTTCAACTTTTAAGACAACTTATTTAAACTGAATAGAATTGAAAAGTGAACTAATTTATTGGCGGGCTGAGCCAGGCCCGTGCAATAGTGCAACGCATGGGCGACTCGCGAAAACCCAGATAGCAAGCTATCTTAATGGACTTTCACCCTTAAATAATAGAGTTAATATCGTGTGAGCCGATGGCCTACATATCAGATATTAAACTAATAAGAACAGATACTACACTTGATCTTAGCCAAAAGGCCGAGAAAGGTATGAATTGTATGATTAGCCCAGCTTTCTTTTTATAGAGGTTGTATATGACTGACGCTTCACTAGCTTACCGATGTGGGACAAAAACTCTTAACCTTTCGCACATCTTTCTTCTACTATGCTAAAACAAAAATTAAATATCTTCGCTACGTTTATTTGATTACCAGCTTTGAGTCTTTCACAGAATTGCTACTATATGCTTTCAATCTGACCATTTATTTACATGAGTTGATTGTATACATACGAAATTATAAAATAACGCAGTATATAGGAAGAAACTCGAAATAAAATCTAGTTTTAAACACTAAATCTAAAATCTCTGCATTCAGAATTACATCACAAAGATGGAATTTCTCTTTATTTTTGTTTCTTCCTAGTGAGCTGAGAATCAGAAAATTAGAGTTTTAAGAAAGAAATAAAAAGAGAGAAGAAGGCCTGAAGAAGACTGAAAGCTCGTACTCCTAATAAGTCAAACTCTACAACTCCACCAAAACCACAGTTTTATGATCTACCATCCCGAGAAAGGTTCTTCATTCTTCGTTTCTCGGACGCTTTGGCCGTGGGGAATCCGACTCCTCTAAACCATTTTCAGACGTTTTCACACTTCTTTTCTCTTCTTGTTCCGGTTTGTCGAAACCCATATTTTGCTTCTCAAACATCATCAACAACGCCTTTCCTTGCTCTTCTATACGAAGTTGCATTGTTCTTTGAATCTGCAAGCACATCAAAACAAACCCCTTCACAATCCCTACTGTTTGCAACTTCAAGGAATATAAACAGATAACACCACAAAGCTAAGACTCATTATATGTTCATCGTTGTACCTCAAGCTGCTCATGCAATTCCTTCTGAAGTTCCATCTGAATTCGCAGAGCCTCAGTGACATCTATCCCACTGCAAAATCAGTACTCACAATTTATTAGACAGATTCAATGGTGTAGCAGTTGTGAATTGTGATGTTACCAAACCCCACCGTCTCGTAATTTGCTCAAGCGGTGTCAACTTTGTCTCTGGCGGACCTGCTAATCATCAGAGAAAATCATCTTTTGAGTAAAAATCTGCTCGGATTGTAACCAAGGCTAAATGAGGCGAGGTAAAGGGTTCTTAGTTTAGAAAATTAGAAACTATTAGCATGCAAACAATGTCGAGAGCCTTTAACCTAAATATCAAGATAAGAGTAGAGTAAGATAGAACAACAAGAGCTGATCGAATTTGTATATATAAGCAAATACAATACTTTCCTCATCTTAAGAAATATAAATGCAAATGAAGAAGACTCATCATAAAAAGAGGGGAGTCAGTATTTACCTTCTGATGGTTCTGGTGTATATTTAGCTGACCTATATTTCTGCAAATATGAATAAGAAAAATTGTAGACTTTGACAAACAGGATATTATGAGGATTAGCATGAAACAGATGGTTAGGAAAAAATAAAAACTAAACCTGCAAATGACTTTTGACATGATATATAGTCAAACCTTCGACTTTCATATGCTTCAGGACACCCTTAGGAGTTGCTTCTACATTAAAATAAGACGCAGAATCAGAACAACCAGAGCTTTATCATCGTTAACTCTATTCAAAGAAAAGGGTCTTAAAATCAAGAAGCAGAGAGAGAGAGAGAGATTCTCACTATTACTGCCACCGAGCTGGTTAACAGCGTCAACAAAAACCTCATGAAGTTCAGGCGTCCAACGCATACGTCCCTTAGCTGCTGCTGCTGCATTATTATTACTATTGTTATTGTTGTTGCTGTTTGAGGATACTGTCCTAACAAGTGGTCGCATTTCCGCATAAGGAGAAGGCTGCTGCATAACAACTTGGGGTTGTTGAATCTGCGCTTGCATACTTGGTTGCTGGACCTGAAACAATATCTCCTCATAAAACATGGTTCTTTTGATGGTGTCTGCTACCGTTAGCTATAGAAGATGAAAAGACTGATGGGGAAAATAGTGATTTTTGGAGACAACATTACCAACCTTTGAAGCTGAGTTGAAATTAGTGTCAAGGAGAAGATCCTCCAAGACACTAGACATCAGGGAATCTCCATCGGTAATCAGGTGGTCATCCCAAACTGGCAAGTCACTTTGTTTGTGAATCTCATCAATAACACCATCATCCATTATTTGATTGGGAGAACCCGAAGGAAAATCGAAAATATCCGGGAGTGGAGAAGGAATCCAATCTGATGTCTCGGGGACGAAAGATGTTGGAGATGCGATGTTGAATCCTGGTTCGACAAAAGGGTTATGGAGATCACTCGAAAATATATGACCAACAGCTCCACCATTGTCAGAGAGTAGATGATAAGGATTTTCCATGACTTGGATGTGTTCTGAATTAAAGGACATTTCTGCTGCTTCTGAAGGGTTTGGTGAAGGTGGTATCAATGAAGAAGTGTGTGAAAGCTCCCTCGGAATTGACCTCAGCAGACGATTCTCCATAGAATTTGCATCATCATCATCATCATTCGGAATTGACCTTAACAGACGATTCTCCATAGAATTTGCATCATCATCATCATCATTCGGGATCATCACTAAGTTTATGAATTACTCAAAACCTATCAAAACCAAATTCATCTATGTAAAATTTCTGAATTACAGAATTTGAAATCAGTGCAAAGTCCAAATTGCAAAAGCAGATGATTTTACTGTCAGATAAGCAAATAATTCACACAATAATTCAAAATAAATTAAGAAAACTGAAAAAGCAGAATCAATCGCCAAACATATCGCCAATTATGCACCAAACTAGGGAGGACTATCAAATTCTGAAAAATCGAAATTCTCACCTAAAAATTCATGAAAAACCCCAAACCCATGAGAAAGAATCGAAAATAAGCGGAGAGCGTAAAGGTAATCTAACACCGGTACGGGCGAGTAAACCGGATCCTTGAACCGGATTTATCTCTATCTCTCTCACTTTCTTCTTCCTTTCTTCGTTAAAAGATGGTGGCTGTCTGTTAAAAGAGATGATCAGAGATCATTCTATCACGCGTGGAGAATGGCGTGTGCAACATATTTCATATTGCGGCACTCACATTGAATTTTCGGAGTGGACGACAAATTTTTGAAGGGAACTGTTTTAAAATAGCCCAAATTGTTTTTTTAATAACAAAAAAAAAATTAAGATACTACTATGATTTTGCTAACAACTGATCAAATATTTGAATTTATCCACAAAATATCTAATTACAAATCTGATTTAAGATCATTTTTAGCTGAAAAAAATAATTCAAACTTTTTTTTAGCATCCATCTATATTTTATTTCAACAAAAGGAGAAAAAACTTGCTCACCAAAAAGTAAAAAAGGAGAAAAAACTATGTAAAAAAAAATCTAAATGGTAGCGCAAAACCCAAAACCCTACAGATAATCCCCAATCTCGCTGCTCCGGGTCAAATCAGCGAGTCGGGTCGAAAATTCACCTGAGAAAAATGTTCGCGAGGCGGCTCTCGTCCTTCTTCAAAGGATCTTCAACCTCAAGGTACTCAAAATGTTGGATCTTCTCTCAATTTTCGTTTAATGACCATGGAATTGTAGTTAGAATCCGATCGATTTGCGATCTTGCAATTAGAATCCGATAGATTTCTCGTCTATCACGATTTCAAAATCGACCTAGTTTTCTAGCCATTTAGACCTATTGAGTTGAGTTTCTATGGAAGAGACACGATTCCATTCAAAATTTTGGATGATCTCTGTTATCTATGATCGTTTTAGGAGTTAAAATGAGCTGAAGAATGTTTTTGAAACAGCTCGGACAAAGCAGTGAAAGTTGGGACATTGGGCTCTTTTGGTCGCAAGGCAGTGTCTTTTGTCTTGATTACAGTCACTGGTGGTGTTGCTTTGAGTGCTCTCGATGATCTTTCTATCTATCGTGGATGTAGCAGGTAATCACATCACATCACAGCTTCGTTTCATCGAAAATGCATTTATCTATCCATTGAAGTTTAGCTATTGCAATGGACATACTATGAATGGGGGCTGGGACCATTGGAATAGATTCTTGATCTCTGCAACTGAAATTTGACCTTGTTTTGTTATCAATGGGTCGTTGTTTATTGATGCAAGGATCAACTTAGAAAGACAACAAACGAAACTCAACTTCTACTGCTACTGATACATGTACCTCAGTTAATGCTGTGTCCATATTTAGATTTTGGCTTGAAGCTTATGGACTGCTTTAGTGAAACTGGTTAAGCAAATGAAGTAAAAAGATATGTAGTCTGGTTTCTCATGTGTATTTCCGTCTATCTTGTGCTAGTGCCGCCACTTTACAAAGTAATGATACTTCTTCTTCCTGTCCTCGCTAGGAATCGAGTAAAAAGTCAGCCGTAATATCCAGAACAATCATCCTTTGGAGTTCTATAGGCACCATTTTGTTATTTTGTTGTGCATTCTATCAACGCCCCTCATGAATATCTCTATGCTCTTCTCCTTGTATCATCAAATCAATAACATGGATTTGCATTGGCGATTACTCAAAAGTCTTTGTATGCTTCATTTTCAGCAAGGCGATGGAGAAGGTGATGAATAGTAAGGCGATGATTGAAGCCATTGGAGAGCCAATTGAGAAAGGGCCATGGTACAATGCTTCACTAGCTGTTTCTCACCAAAGGCACTCAGTGTCTTGTTCATTCCCTGTGATTGGACCACAAGGCACCGGAATCTTGCATCTCAAAGCTGTTCGCAATGGAGGTAAAAATTTCCAAAACCCAAGCAGTCACTCGAGACAAAAATATGTGTTAGGTATCTGCATTTGCCATTTTTCTTACTCATTGGATCCTCTTTGCACTTTGTTTCTTGGAATAGAAGATAGCATGTTTGGGTTTCTCCAGCAAAGGGACTGGGACATTCTGATAATGGACGCACTTGTCCATGTCCCGTCAAACGAGGGGCCCCAACAAACCTTGAGAATCAACGTTTCTAACATCGTTGATCCTTCGCCTGGTACCGACGATTTGCCTGGTACCAACGATAAACCTTCGGTACCACGAGAGCCAGAGAAGAGTTAAACAGAGAGAGAGAACGCTTCGTGGAGCTCCTGGCTATGGGTTTTATTCCATTCCATTCCATTATATCTTGTGGAGCAACAGAGAGAATTGGGTCTTTTATTTACTAATAATGAACACTTTCTTTTAGGAGTATACAAAAGCTGAATACATGATTGGTAATAATAGTCTAGTGAATAACAGCATTGCTATATCCGTTTTGATTTGGCCGCTTTTTGCTCTTTATGTTTTCATATAATATGTTTTACGTGTTTGTTTGGCTAATTGCATCAATCAAAATCTAAATTAGAATCTTAACACTGCTTCAATCTTATTAAACAAACAATTTGGAGGAGGAACAATTTTGTTATATCATTTTTTTTTTTAGGAAAACTGTAGGACCCACATGTCTGAAAATGGAACGAAAATGTCTTGTAAATGGTAAAAAAAAAATGAGGAACAAAGAGAACATGACATTCCTACTCATTCTTTTCCTCAAATTTGGTTACCAATCGGAGCCTATGCTTTCAAAAACGAATTTATTTTTCTAATCCTACTAATATTAATCTGAAGGTACAAATAAAAATATGGGAAAAATGTCATTTAAATCATCACTTTACCATTTTCGTTGGTTTAAATCATGAATTCTAGATCTGGTGATTTAAATCCTTAATTTTATGTTGATTTTCATTTTTATCATGAATTCTCATTAACAAAGCCAATTGAGACACATCGCTAACTGGCTAAACGGATTAATAAGACGATGTCATCGCATAACTGACACTTCGAAGCCATCACATAATTTTTCTTCTGCACCAACATGGTTTCCATCTTTTTCTTCGTTCGATTGCTCCGTTGAGCCAGTTAACAATGTGCCTCAATTGGCTTAGTCAACGAGAATTCGTGATTAAATTAAAGGTCAACATAAAATTGAGGATTTAAATCATAAGATCTACATAAAATAAGGATTTAAATCACCAGCTCCATAGTTCATGCTTTAAACCAACGAAAATGGCAAACTAATGATTTAAATGACATTTTTCCCATAAAAATATAGCCTTTAAGTTGTTAATAATCACATCACAATGTCATTACAATTTTACTTTTTTTTTCTGAACAAATTATAATCTCTCATGAAGAGTACTATGTCAATTGCATTATCATGATTAATCGGATATACATATCCAATTTAATATTAAATCTTGGATGCAGATTCCTTCGGCTAAGATCGTGAGGATCCTGCAAGAATTAATCACAAATATTTAAAGATATATCAAAAAGAAATCATCAGGATATCAATCGAATTCCAATAAAATATATATCTCATATTTATCGTATTAAATTTAAGAGAAAAAACAATCTTAAAACAGAAAAAGGATCTTTTAAAAATCTCGTAAATTTGCAAAACCACTAACATTAAAATCGCATTAAAAAGCCTTTCAAACCTAATATAAAAGAATCTTCAAAGAAAAAAAAATAAAACAAATCAAAGGCAAAACAGCAACTTTTGAGTTCTGTGGAACCACTTTGGTCTCTCTTCAGAGTTGTTTACAGTTAGCGATCGAGATCCAGTCATGGCGGGTACAGTAGCAAGATTTGTGAAAAAGTTTGGTAAAGATGATATTTGGTATCGATTATCGTTGGTAGTAATACCAGTCTCAGGTGTCTTAATAGTACTTGCGCAAAAGAAGCTTGACTGTATCAGAGAGGAAAAGAAGCTTTTGAATGCGAGGTTTGATCAACTGAAGGCTAGGGGAATAATCAGAGAGCAGTAATCGGTCGGTCACAGATTACCCAAAAGGGGTGTTTTGGCTTTGTTTTTTTTGTTTCTTCTTTCTTTTCTAGGGTTTAATATTTGTTTCTCCATACACGTTTCCATGCATGAAATCAAGCAACTCTATGCAATTAGTTTATTATTGATTTTAACTTCTTATTTTTTTGTGGTCTTATTACATCATCACTAGAAATATTTAATCTAATCCTATTATGGTGATATTCAACTACGTGAAGCATATGCGATTTTGATGAATAATTCTCATAAACAACGATTATACGATGCAGCTCTCTCCGAAATATTGGGATTTTCAACTGACAGTTCTGCATGTACGACATTTCTGTGATGAACATGTTCTTTCCACAAGACTCAGACCATTACAAACGGTTCTGCATGCGATACTCTAGACCTCGGATCAGTTTTGCACCATTAATTTGCAAAAAATAAAACAAGATTCTTTGAGACTCGAACTCCGGACCGTTGGTCAACCATGGAACCAAAGAGGTTTGTTAAAAAAAAATTATTGCAAAAAAGATTAAAAGAAAAAAAGCCCAACAGCATACAAAAGAAGAAGAACCCAATTTTAAAAAATCAAGCCCACCAATAGGATAACTAGAATAAGAGAAGTCGTAGCCCAATATGGCCCAAGTTAGAGACGGAGGCAAAAGAGAAGTGAGGAAGAAAATGCAATCAGGAGAAGCGTTGCTGCTGAAACATTGACTGATTCCGATCGACGGATGCTTGCAATTCTGTTCCGATTAGTAACCAATGTCGTCGTCTCCCGAGAAGAAGAGGAAGAAATGGTCACCAGACTCACTTCCCTATGATTTGATTGTGACCATCTTAGCCCGCCTCTCGCGATCCTATTACCCTAAGCTCTCCTTAGTCTCCAAAACCTTCAGAGCAATCCTTGCTTCACCGGAGCTTTACCAAACCCGAATCCTCTTAAGCCGCACTGAGACACTTCTCTATGTTTGCTTAAGCTTTCCTGATGAAGCTAACCCTCGCTGGTTCACTCTCTACCGAAAACCTAATCAGATCCACACCACTAAGAAGAATAAGAAGAAGAAAGATGGTTCAAGTGTTCATCTTTTGGCTCCAACACCGATCCTCAACTCTCCTCCTGTGGAATTCTCAAGTCTTCTCGCTGTTGGTTCTTATCTTTATGCCTTTAGCGCAGCCATGGAAGATCCTCCATGCTCTAACCTCTGGTTTCTTGACTGTCGAACTCACACTTGGCTTCAAGCTCCAAGAATGCGACTGGCTATTGGTAACTTAGATGGGATTATGTATTTAGCAGCTGAAACTCCAGATTCTTTGAAACGTGTTGAAGTGTACAACATAGAGACTCAAACTTGGATTCCTGTGCCGCCCAACAAACGGAGAGTCAAACTCATACATATGAAAGGAAAGCTTTACATGAACGTTGGTAAACTTTTGAGTCTTGCTGAGAAGGTTTTGCCTTTAAACCCAAAGGTTCGATCATTGGAAATAATGTCTCCTAGGGATGTTATGGCTTTTAAGCCTGAGGTTTGTGGGGCATTTGAAGCGTTAGGATTGGATACGGTCAATACAGATTTAAATCGAGGTTCTTTTTGTATGATAGAGGAGATGACCTATCATTATGACCCTAGTGTAAAGTTTAGATGGAGAAAAAGTATGGGAGGAGTTTGGAGAACATTAGGGGGCTTAGAAGGGCTACCTAAGTTTGCTAGATATAGTACTGTTAAATTGGCGGATTGTGGTGGTAAGCTGGTTGTTTTGTGGGACAAGTATGTGCCTGCAAGTGGGTATGAGGAGAAGATGATTTGGTGTGCAGAAATTTCGCTTGAAAGGCGCAACAAGGAAGAGATTTTGGGGAAGGTCGAGTGGTTAGATGCAGTTCTTACAGTCCCTAAGTCTTACAAATTTGTTGATGCTAAATCTGCTACTGTTTGACAGGTTTGAGCGCTTATAATTATGATCTGCATTCACTTGCTTTGTTTGTAGGATGGTTTAAGCTTATTTAGTGAGTTCTTTTAGTGCCTGACATTGTTTTTGGTTATAAATATCTGGCATTCACTTGCTTGTAGATGATTAAGCTTATTTGGGGACTTGTCTGTCTCTTTGATAAACCCTTTGATGACAAACTCATTCTGCTACTGTTTGATGAAGGATGCATGAGACTAGCGGGTAATGTCCGTTTTTGTTCTGAATATGTGTTGCAAAATGTCTATATATGTGACTACCATGACGAATGCTTGTCTTGTGCTTTTAGCGGTCACCTCTAAACATATGCACGCACTTGTAGACTGATTAAGCTTACTTTGTCTATGAAAATTCGTTTGTTTGTGTTGCATAGAAGAGTACAGTTCCCTTTACATTCACAAGAAGAGCTAAAACAAGATACACAATTAGTGCAGTCCATTGAGCTTTCTTATTTATGTAATAAGTGACCAAGTTGCAGAATTATAACAGGGCTTTGGTGTTAATGGTGAGACTTTCTTTCATGTCTTGTAGAGCCAACCAACAAAGAAATTGCCACTGAAACAATTTGAGGATCCTCTGTTTGTTTTTAGCTTCTTTTTTCGGTTCTTGAAGCCTAAAGAGTAATTACCATAAGCACTGACTTCAGTTAGAAACTTGAAAAGGGTCACTTCTTATTATTAATTTCTGTGGGTAACTGATACAACAAAAATCTCAAACAAACTTATCTCTATGAAACTAGAGAAACTACATTTGATACCAATACAACAAAAATAAATCATTTTTTGTCCGTATAATTGTAACCGAAAACTATATCCCAAACCGTAACAAAATGTGGCTGCTTCTGTCTCTTTTCATTGTGTCTTATCTCTCTGCTCACTCTTCCATGAATTCTTAGCTGCATCTGCTGAAATTGTCGTGCCTCCATTGCCATCGCTGCCGCCATCTTCTCCGGGCTTTGGTTTGGAGAAGAACGGGTCCCACACATGGCCCCCAGCTTCCCGTTGGCCTTCCTCCAGCAACGCATACTTCCAGCTGTTCTCCTCCACGAAGTTGTCATACTCGGTTCGTCCCTCGATCATGTTCTTCCTTAACCGAGTCACCTTGTCTATCACAGCCTGTACCGAGACATCAAATGCATCTTTCTGCGTCTCCAGTTCTGATCTCGGGTCTGCGTAGATCAGCCTTGGGATGAGGTTGATGACATTCTCTCTCATTATCTTGACCTGCTCGTGTGGAATCTGAAGGAGTCGCTCCTCAATGCTAATGTTTCTCTTCCGAATATCATCCTCGGGGATGAATACAGAGTAGGTTGTGTAGTTCTTGGGTAGATGCCACGTGTATTGGGTGTAGGCTGAGCCTGGATGGAAGAAGACCGGTATACAACCGGCAAGCATTGAGTCAAATGCCGATCTTCGGGTGTAAGAGTCTCCCTGTGGCTGCAGACAGAAGAGAGAGCTTTGAAACATTTGCATAATGCTGCTTGGTGCATGACATTTGCTCTCTCCAAAATCGCATTCTAATAATTTGCCAACATTTGAGTTTCGGCATTGATCAATGATCTGCCCTCTGATGGATTTCGGATTGTCAGGTCGTGGGGCTCCTGCAAATGAGAAAAGCCACTTCCTTTCCAGGTTTTTCATCCGGTCTTGCCATTCAAAAACCTCTGAGTCCTTTGCTGGGTGGAAGTAGGTTGGGTATGGGATCCCAAAATCATTTGCGTTCCATGGACTCGACTCAACCACAAGCATAGACATGTTCTTGGCAGCTGGTAAGAAGAGAAGCTTGTTGCCCCAATCGGTTTCTTCTTCAGACAATCTCCTAAAATCCCACGTTATCCTACCCGCCACAAGGAAATGATCTTTTCCTCTCATTATATCCCACTCAGGCCGCTTCATGAGCCAATTGACCAACTCAAGCGAAGCAGCATCCCTTCTTGAGATATTATATCCCCACAGGTACCTAGCAATGTCGAATCCAGCATAAAAGGGCACAAAGATCGCAGCAGCAAGAGAAGAATCATTCGTCAGACATTTGTACTGCTTCATCCGGTTGCTGAATATCACATCAACAGCAAACTGATTAGTCGCATACCAACCTTCATCAGAGAAGACACCTTCAACATTCTCAAGCGGCGGGCCAAGGCCAGCATTGGTTGTGAACTTGCACATGTTAGTCCAGAGACTAAGCTTCTTACAGTCTCTAAGCATATCCTCATTGAACTTGGAGGGTAGATCATGAACATAAATGTACTTCCCTCCACAAGGGTCACTCTTGTTGTCTACTGTCTTCAACGCTCTTATAAACGAAAACTCCTGTTTCTGCCTACTCTCAACAATTCTAGGCGGCTTAAAGGTGGTAGTAGAATTAGCTACTGGTGCAGGAGAGAGTACTGGCTTATCGATCGTAACTAAAGGATCTTTAGGAGGTGGTTTCGATGGAGCTGCATGAGGCTCTAAAGGGAATTTATCAACACGAAGAGAGATTGATGATGGCTGAGACTGAGCATAACTAGGTTGCAATTGGATCTGTTTATCAATGTTACTGCTCCCTAAGACAACAAAATGGAAGTACAACAACAATGCCCAGAAAAAGAGTGATAACGCAACCAACAAACAGATTCGATTAGTCTGATTCTTCCCATTTCCCTTCTCCATAGGCTCTGTAGGAGCAACTTCTGCAGAGCGACGCCTCATAGAAACCCTTGGAATCATATAGAGTGTACGAAGATCACAAACATCTATACAAAAAAGATCAACCAACCCTAAAGAGCAAAACCAACTCCTATCAAAGCCTCTAGAGGTGGTTTTTACACGAGATCGAAGTAATTGAAGCTAAATCGTAGCTCAGGCGCAGAGAAAAATCCAGAAAGGATTCAGATTTGAGAATGTAGAAGTGTACCGACAAGGATCCGCAAGAGAAGGAGCTACGAGGAAGAAAGAAAGATTATAGCTTTTTGATTGATCCTTCAAGGGAAGATCTAGAGATGTGTGAAAGTGAAGATTTTTAACATTGATGAGGCCAAAGATCGATGAATTTTTGACCTGGCTTTGAGCTCGTCTCATCAGTCATCACCGTCAATGGGAGGAAGAGAGATACTTCTGTATATGTAATTGAAAGCGCACGTTAGTCGGACGGCTAAATCTGCGCCGTCAGTTTTTTTCTTGTAGTTGTCGGTGACCAGTGGGACCTTGCCACGTGTAATGACATGTCGGTTCAAGTGTCGATTACGTCAGCTATAAACCTCTTGGACTCTTTGACCTCGTAACGTGATTTCGGCGAGCGTGTGGGTATTACTCCACGTGTAATCATGTGAGTGGTTGATATGATAAAAGCACTTTGGAAATGGCATAAATTACAGAATTTGATGGTAAGCACTAAGCATTAACCAAAAGACGACGTTGTAACATGATTACTTCAAGTTCAAGCTCATTGATGTTTAACGTCTCTCTGCTAAATGCTAATTACTTTTTTTTTTTTTTTTTTTGACTTCTCAAATGCTAATTACTTATTTCAGTGAGTACATCATTTTCGATTGCTTTAATTTGAATGTTGTGGAGAAATAAGTTTAAGAAATACTGCAAATGGTTGCACAATTTAAAAGGTTAAAAAGGTAGAAAAATACTATTTAATTAAATTTTACTATTTGAGTTGAAAATGTTGAAAAAATTATTCAACCCATTCAATTTTTAAAATTAAAAAAATGAACAAGTTATAAATAAAAAATGTTCAACGTGTTCATCCATATTTCTTTAGATGAATAGGTTGATTTGATATTCAAACCAATTTTGTTCAACCTAATAATTTCAATAGTGCATGATGTCCAACTAATGATGACAGTAAGCATAAAGCAGATGAATAACCTTTTCACAAACCTACCTTACATAAATAATTAAGTCTATAATAAGACCGAAAACGCTCCAAAATGACTTTGTTTGTATAGAACTATATATGTAAGGTCGAATAAGAGAAGAGAGACATTCGAATGCAAAACATAATTCCCTGCCTTTTTTATTTTGATGAGTAAACTTTTGTTAGCCAGTTGAAAATTTGTTTTCATTTGTTTAAATTCAAAATTAGAGATAGATTATATGAATCTTTTAGATTATTGGTGTCTAATTTATGGTGGTAAATGGTTTTATGGTAGGTAGTAGGAGTAATAAATATGCTTTTTTTTTTTTTGAGCAAACAGATAAATAACAAAATTAAAATTAAATCGAATAGTTAAAACTCAAAAAAAAAACTGGTCAAATCGAATTAGGAGATTTACATTCGAACTAAAAAAAATAATAAAAAAAATGTTTGTCGTCTATGTCGGGATTAGTTGTATAAATGATGAGAAGACTCTCCACTTTCATACACTCATAGCCAATAAATAACAAAACAAAAAGAGCAAAAATAAAATAAAATTAGAAACTTTAAGAGACAAACGTGGCTTGTGGGAGTGGGGAAGTTTGTGCTCTCCAATGTATATAACTCACATGGATACCACAAAGGACTAGCAACAAATTTATTTACTCCTCCTTTGAATAATTGAAGGGAATAGTGGACTAGCATTAAGTTTGTTTTTCGCAACAACGATTAAAAAAAGAAATCACTTTTGATTCTTTAATTATTTGTTACAATTGGTGAACATGTTAGGATGATTTGCAAAAGTGAGGAGTTGAACCAAAATTGTACGAATTCGTAATTAAAGAATAATATTCTCTTGAAAGATTCTTGAATCGATGAACACAAATGAGATTGTGGTCTTCTAATCAATCATCTAATGGGACTATGGAGGATGGGCAAAAGTATATGTAGAAAAGAAAGATTCTAGCTAATTCGATAGATTTTTATTAGTCAAATCGGTACTTAAATAGTAGTGAAGTCACACATCCTAGTACTACCATCGCCTAAGCACGCTTAACTGCAGAGTTGTGATGGGATCAGTGCATTAGTGCTGATACGATCGCATCCATAGTAGTTATAATTCGGTTGTTGAGAATCTTGAGATTGTAATTGGTACGTACTTCATTGCTTTTAATCCGGTAGCCTCTTGACTTTGTCAAGTATGTCCCACTAAAACTACTACAGAATTTGCATAACTGGACCATATAGCATTAATCTTCGATTTAATCTGGAATGATATGAATTAATACAACATAAAATGTGTTTTTGACCGTTAGATATCAACTTACTGGAATAGTTTAACATTTGATAATAGATAAGCAACTAATCGAGGAAGTAATTATGGACGAGATAGTTCTTACTTCTTAGCATGAACATCAGTTCATGAGGAGAGATCTATACGGAACCAATTTTCTTCCGGAACCAAGAGGAGAGGAAGAGAATGAATACTAAAAAGATGTTAAAGAGACAGACCAAACATAACCCAACCTTAATCAAGCTCATCTCCTTCTGTCTAGATATGTTATCGTCGCGGGTCATTTTAACATCTTTGATATGGAGATGAACACCGGGATCTCTTAGCTTAACCTTGCTACCGATCAAAGCTGAACCACATGTTGCTTGAACATTGCTGTTCACGTAGATGTTGATCCTGCAACCACTTTGACTCGCTATGTCTACATCCCTAGGCGCCACCATCACCGCACCAACATTTCTCCCATTCAAGTTGATTCCACCACTGCCAGATTCGGGTTCGGGATAGTCTCCGTCATCTTCCATTTGGGACAGACTGCAAAATGAGTCTATCCTGTCCCTCCAGTGTCATGATATCTGCTCTAAATCCTTTGCTTGGTTCTTGGGGTTTCCTAAAGTTCTTTACTTTTTTCTACAGCTAGAAGCAAAGTGATATATTCTACGATTTGCATGTCTAGATTCCATACCCACCCCCAAAATCAAGGGTACCGAAGGACTTAAGATGGGTTAATGGGTATCAATATTTCATTATCAGTAGATAACGCCATAACGGAGTCAAAATATGCCCTTGACCAGAAACTTCAAATTACTCAGGGTTTAACCTCTATTGCATACAGATTCATGTTGAAACGTTTTGTCGTTAGTGAAACATACAACACCAAGCTATATGGAATGCAAAGATATGAAAGCATATGGCTTTAGTTTTACTCAAGAGTAAAGTAGTACATGGAGTTCGAAACCAGACATTGCATAACCTCTAAGGGACCAAATCGCCCCATCAAGAAAGAAACTGTCCCCTCTCTAACTTATAATGATGTAGATGTGTTATAATTTTTTTCCAGAACACAACAAAGAGGAGGACCTGTTTATTATTGACAGAAGTAAATGAAACGCATCAACATAGCAAATCTGGTTTCCGCAATCTCATTGTGACACTTGCATGAAAAAGTTAGTCCAGAAAATGAACTTTGAGCAGAGAAGCAGCATCAAGGGTAGAAGTCTGTTGGTATCTTTTCACTGACAGTAGAACCGAAGTTAGGCCCACCCTTGCGATATTGGATAAGAAACTCGACCGGATATCCCTTCAATTTATGGGGGACAAGGTCCAAATCCTGAAACTTCAAGGCTGAAATAGCCATTGTTGTATAATAAAGAGTGAGACTCAGTTAACTAAAGGAAAGAACCCATTTCACTTCTATGAATAATGACTAACCCTTGTCAGATACAAGTGTATCGGTTGTAAGTGCATTGATTTGATCCAGATTGAAGATCTGAGGAGAGGGTAAGGGGAAAGGGACTTTGTTCACCATGAAGTCTCGAGGAGCTGCCATTGCCTGGAACAGATTGTGACATATGTGAAATTAGTATTGGAGTTTCTACCATAGACAGTGCACATTTGATCTTTTTACCTTGGCAATTGGAAACGGAAGCTTCACATACCGAGGCCACTCACGAATCATATCATACATGATCTCTGCCTGCAAGACACACTTGGAAATCAAACCCACTGAGCTAGCACAGTGACAGAGAGAGAATGAAGGATTAAAAGAATTTACCAACTCATGAGTGGTAAAGACATCTGGACCACCCAATTCATATGTTTTCCCCATGCTGGAGCCATCATCCTTTAGAGCTGCAACGATTGCAGCAGCAACATCAACCACATAAACAGGCTGGAATCTGCAATGGGGTTGTTGTCAGGGAAGGAACTAGATCTACATTGCAAGTTGCTATGAACCAGTGAAAAGAATTGCACTAAGGATTTAAGACGTACTTGGTGGTTCCACCCCCTATGAGCGGCAGGAAACCATATTTTTTAACGAACATTGACCAGGGGTTCAAGATTCTGTCTTCTGTACCAATCATGGTTGCAGGTCTCATGACGGTGGCCTACGAAACACATATACATCAAGAACTGACTAGAAGCAGCATGCTGATGACAAAAATTTTATATAAACCATCCCAGGTTCATTTTTGCTTTCAAAATTTATGAGATTTTTTAGAATTTAATAATAACATCCTATACAGTTTTTCCAGTTCTGCACAAAAAAATCTAAAGGATCGTTCTTTTCTATGAAAAAGAAGCAGGACCATGAAGAATGAATAAAAAATTACGATGATAATAATTACAAAAGAGAGAGTTATATGTACTGAAAGCCGGACAAGTATACCTCAGGCAGCGCGTTCAAGACAGCTTCCTCAGCAGCAGCCTTTGCCCTCAGCATTCTTGAAGGAGATGACGCTGAAGCTCCTAGGCAAGAAACTTGAATGTATCTCATTATCCCACCGTGTTCCTTGGCCACCTGAAACAACATAACCACAAAGCCCAATCTAATTAGAAATAACCAAAAGAGCAAGCCATAGTAGATCATATCATCCTGAAGGTTAAAAAATGTGTAGCTCATTTCCGCAGTAGGAAACAATCTGAGGGGCAACAAAAATGGAAACCTGTTCACTAAATTTTTTGGAGACAATTCATCAGGATTCAAACACATACCAATGCAAGTTTCTCAGCGATATGATGATTCGCATCTTCAAAACTGAAATTTCTGGTCTCGTACTCTCTTCCTGAGGATTAGATTAAATATCATTCAAAATGGAAAGAACGGTGCTACTCTTTTAGAGGTTTAACAATAATTGCTAGAAAAAAATAAGATAGACAACATAAATTTACCAATAAGATTGATAACGACATTAGCCTTGGCCATGACAGCCTTAATCGAGTCTTCATCTCTTGGATCAAATTTCATGGGAACTACCTGGAATATACAGGCAACAAACACACATCAAATTTTCCGATCCAAAGCATAGTTTTCTAAAAAGATGTTTTTTGTGGCATACCCTCAAAAGGCTTATGCTAAATAAAAGAATATATTACCTGTCCTAGATCTCCCATCAACTTGAGATGTCGAGGAGAGTCCTCTGAGCCTCGGAAAGGAACAAGCACTTGTGATCCCATTTTAGCTGGAAGAAAAGATTCACTTGAATTTAGCAAGTACCAAAAAAATCAACAAATGTAAACAAAAAACAAGATTGATTAAGCAAACTGGTAATACCAATGATAAACCCAACTCACCTAGCTGCTGCACAAGATAACGACCCAGGAATCCTGTGGCTCCAAATACTGTAGCTACAATGCCACTGGCAAAGCAAAGGAGAAATTAAGATTTTCATAGACCAACGTATATTCTTTTCCTCTTAACAGAAGCTCTCGATAGAAATTGACAAATTCCGCTACACTGAACCCCTTAGAAATGAAAAAATTTCTCTATAAAGGCAACTAATTCACAAAAGCTATCCTCTAAGCTCAAAACTAAAAAAAGATATACAAACTAAGCTTGATTTAACCTAACAGCAACACACCAATAACATTTCTCATTCCCATGAGAAATCTCCAGCATTTCCTTAGAAACCAAACCCTAGACAAACAGAACAGAAAGCACAGAAAAATTCACTATACTAAAGCTACCACAAAGCCATTAGAGATGATACATTTATCCGTAAACGGCAACGTATACACAAAAGCTATCCTCTAAGCTAACTTAAATCCAAACACGGACCAATTTCATTTTCTCCTTCCTAAGAGAATTCTCAAGCATAATAATAAGGAAACAAACCCTAAAAGAGAGAAATGACATACCTAACGGAAGATCTCCCACCAGTACCCTTGCGAGCGAGGTGTCCCACGCCTTTCGTAGCGAGGGAAGACGAGTAGCGACGATTATCAGTCCCATTCACTGATTAAAATCAGCAGAAACACACAAAATCATTAAAACCACAAATCTCTCATTAGCGCGAGACTCATAAGCAACCTAAAACATCCGAATCGAAGAAAAAAATCAATGGCAGAAACTTAACGGTGATTAGAGACTCCATAGAGCGATCTGAGAGAAGAAGATGAGTAGATCGAAGCTTCTCCGGTGAGAGGCCGTTGAACTAATCTCCTGGAAAGTGCTTGCATCCTTCGTTCTCAGTTACACGATCGATGGAGAGACAACAAATACAGATGAGAGAGAGAAGGGGAGAAGATGAAGAAGAGAGAAATGGGAATGAATAGAAGAATTTGGTGCATCGAGTATACAAGAAATGGGCCTGGTATTTTGTAATGTCTCAAATGGGCCTCTTAATGTAAACCCATTTGCTGCGACGATAAGTAACACGCTTAAAATGAAACCACGTCATTTTGTGTTAAGTAAGCCCATTTATCAGTAAAACGTCGCCGTATGATGAATACTACTATTGGATTCCCTTCTTGTTAATTAGTATTTTTTTTTTCCTTGATTCCCCTTCTTGTTAATGAGAGTTTAAATTCTATAATTAAACAAACGGTCATAAAATTTCAAAATAACTTAATTGATTTTAATATATGCTTACATTTGTTTTTTTTTTAATTTTATGTAATCACATGCTATAAAAATATAGACTTTATTGTCATTGGTTACAAATATTGTATAACTACAATAAACCCAAACCAAAAAAAAAAAAAAAATACACACAACTGGAAAGAAGAAAAAAAAAGAATAAAATACACACAGTCACACACATGCAAGACCAGTACCTTACTTTATCAAGTTTTGTATTATCAAACAGAATTAAACCAAACCAAATAAAAGAATGCTTCACTTTAGTTTCTTGCAAAATAACGTTTTACTATTCAAACAATTTATAAATTACTTGTGAAGCAAGTAAGATGCTTCTTCCTCATGAATAACCTTCGTGTGCTTCTCTTCCGTTAATTTTTCTCAGTCATCTTCCACCGTCGTCTTCTTGGTTGATGCTTCCTCTCCGTTCTTTGTGCCACGTCTAGCTGGTCTTCTTACGACAAGTTCAGCCGCCGCATCGTTGTAAGCCTTAGCCGCCATCTCCGCTGTTGGAAACGTTCCAAGCCATCTCCTTACTTTCAAACTCGGATCCCATATCTCCGCCGACCATTTACCTGATGGCTTATGAAAGTACATAAACTGCATGCTATATATAACATATTGGAACATAATTTACCTGATGTAAAGAAAATACATAAACTAGCACTACTAAAACTGTAAAGGGTATTCAGTAGGCCTGGGATTTCGGTTAACCGTTCGGTTATCGGTTGGTCCATTCGGTTTCGGTTCTTTCGGTTTCAAAATTTAGTATCCATTCGGATATTTTGAAATTTCGGTTCGGTTTCGGTTCGGTTCCGGTTCTTTCGGTTTTAAAATTTAGTATCCATTCGGTTATTTTGTTTAGGATATTTTCGGATATTTAGGTTATTTTTGAGTATTTTCGGAAATTTTTGGATATATTTCGGTTACTTTCGAGTATTATTATTTTTATATATTTTTCAAGTATTTTTGATTATTTGGTATATAAATAACTAATTATTTTGAAAATATAATTGTATTTTGGGTATTTCGGTTACCCGAATTATATCGGTTCGGTATCGATTTGGTTACGGTTATTTCGGTTATAGAATTTAGTATCCATTCGATTATTTTTAAATTTTCGGTTCGATTCGGTTCGGTTTTTTTGCTTCGGTGTCGGTTCGGTACATTTGGTTCGGTTTATTTGTGCAGGCCTAGTATTCAGCTAGCAAAACAAAGAC